TGGTCGAAATTTCACCAAAATCGGATAAGAATTGAAAAAGTGACAAGGCGAACAACTTGGCTAAAATTTTTGGTGGCTGGTTTTTTTTTGCCCGTAGTGCATATTACCATAATGATGAAATATCACCCCATGAAGATTGAATTGTCTCAACCGTTTGCTGCAATATTTGTAGCAACAATTTTCTTCAATTCACCATATTTGGCAAAGTTTACCTTTGATGCGGCAATAAATAAACTCCGTTCTACTGTATGATTTTTTTTTGTAAGAAAATCAAGGACCGGTCATTTAGAAAATGAAAATACAAGTCTCAAAATGACAGTTGACAAGATGAACATGCATCAGATATAGATGACAGGGTGAGAGGGGGTGACTTAGCAGCGAAATACACGCTTAGGGCGCGCTATTCAGGTCAAAGGGTCGTCGAACTACCCCGAATATTGATCGAAACGTTCCACTATGTAGGGATTGTTAACTCTTGCTGGAAATGCCTTCCCTGTGGTATCCAGATTTTTTTCCATTTCAAAACATATACACTGTTGGGTGTATATTTAATCGATTTCGATTCGAACCATATGGTTTTTAATGTATATGTTATCGTAGACATCTATAAACCGAAGTTTTTATCTAATATGTAGGGTGTACCAAAAACAAAAGTTCATATAAACATATGTACAGTGTGTGTTATTTCAACCCGCAACACCCTTCCAATTTGGAATTCTTCAACCGATTTACAAAAACAAGAATAGCAAGGAGCTCTTTTCGAGAATGTCGAAAAATTTGAAATATTCAGATTTCCAAGGCCTACTTTTGTTTGTTGAATGGGTCCAAATTTCAAAAATGACTATTAGGCAATTTTTTTTCCGAAACTGTGACTAGCCTGCTCGATTCAGGCATAGCTGAAAAAAACTCATTCGAAATTTAAACGCAAAATCTTCTATAGGGTGTTAGTTATTCAATGGGATCTTCTGATATTTTTGATTTTTCGATTACCCCTGTATCAAAATCCCAGATACGAACTTTCATCGTTGTAAATTCTACAGGAAGATCTCTCTAGGTCAACCAAAAATTAATGAAAATGAAGTTGAGATTTTTTCTTATTATGATCCATATCTTCTTTTCCTGGAGATAAAAATAATGATAATTTCAAGGGAATATTTTTTATACATAACAATTTCCATTGTCATCTCAAATTTTCATTCCATTTCGCCAAAATCGGTATATTATTACATCAAGCATCAGTATATCTCTTTGCAGTCTTTGGAGAGTATTTGTCTAGCTGTCATTCTATTGTTCTTACATTCGACAGCTCTTTATTATATCAATCGAGACAATTTTCAAAGTTATTGGGTGGTGAAGTGTGTGAAAAACGGTTCACCTGAGTTTTCAAAATGGTGAACCTCAACTTGTAGAATTCATCAACAAAAAATATAGCTTCGATTCTAATCAATTTGGTTTTCAAGAAAATAGTGGAACACAAGCAGCAGTATTACAACTGATAGAATCAATCCAGAGAGGACTTGATTCAGGAAATTATGTGGTAGCTGTTTTCATTGATCTCAAAAAGGCTTTTGACACAGTTGGTCATACAACGCTTTTAGAAAACTTAGAAACAATGGGACTCAGAGGCACTGTGAGAAATATTTTGAATTCATATCTTGAAAATAGGACAATCAATACAAAATCAACCAACTCTGTGTCAAATAAACTATTAATCAATAAGGGTGTCCCACAGGGCTCTGTTTTAGGACCTATACTATATTTACTCTATGTTCAAAATATCAGTGAAATTGGTCTCACGAGTAAATTTACCATGTATGCAGATGATTCAGTACTTTTATATGAAGGCAAGAATCCTTCAAATTTAGAAAATATGATAAATGAAGACTTGAAAATATTTGAAAAATGGCTCCACTCTAACCTTTTATCGATAAATACTAACAAAACAGAATATATGATTTCTCACCAAAAAAATAAACAAAAAATTTACCTCAACCTTAAAATAAAAAATGAACTCTTAAAACAAACTGCCAGATAAAATATCTTGGAATTTGGTTTGATGACAGATTGAAGTGGGACAAACATATTGATGTTCTGACAAAAAAAAATATCTCCAATTATTGTTGCATTGAGAAGATGTCCCAAACTTAATAAAATTGCAAACATGATTCTCTACTCTCATGTACTGAGTCGTATCAACTGTTTAAAAAATGTTTGGGGAACTTGTTCAAAAAACAATTTCAATAAAATATCAACATTATATAGAAAATCGAAAAGTATTGTATCGTTTGATCATGTTTGATACACCAACCAATCAATTGTTTGAAATAACAAATACGTATTCTTTAGATGAAATATATAGAATTGAAACTCTTAAAATATCATATAATATCATAAATAAAAAATTGAAGTCGAATTTTATGTTGATACGGAATTCTGGAATTCATAATCATGAAACAAGACAATATAACTTGTTTCATCTTGACGCCGCTAGCTCCATAATCGGACAAAATAGATTCACTCATTCAGCCTTAACTGAATTCAATAAGCTACCTGACAATATAAAAAATTGCAGAAATATAGGTACATTCAAAAATGAAGTGAAAAAATTGATTATTTCTGAGCGAACTGGATAAAAACAAAACAATTTTTTTTTCTCTACAAATATTATTCTTTGTTTGTCAACTTACAGTTGTTGATATATTTTGTATAATGATATGTTTACCTATAGGTATATAATTATGTACTTTCCTTATACCAGAGCCTATTCTGTCTGGAAGTTATTTGTTCAATAAATTAATAAATAAATAACTTTAGTTTTATTGATATTTTGGTTGACCTAGAGAGATCTTCCTGTAGAAATTACAACGATGGAACTTTTTTCAAATTTAAAAACGTCAACTTGTAATGAAGAAAAAGTGGCCATTATGAAGGCATCCATTTTGACTAATTTCTTCAAATAACTTCATGCCATCTTTGCAAATAAGATCCGAACCTATATGTATGTAGGCAAATTCCCAGGCATAAATGGATCGCTATGGTAAAACACAGATTTCCTTGTGACTCCAATTAAGTGGTTACTATTTATGTAATTACCGATTAAGCGTTCACAGCAACAGCTTTCTGGACAAACGATGTTCGCATAGCGAAAATGGAGCAGTTTCCTTAATTGAATTGCTCAAGAGAAAACAAGAAGCTATTTATGGCTTTCAGTACAAGTACGGAAATTGGCAGATCAATACAAAGAATGAGCTGCACTATAACTGATGATGTTTCATTTAACCGATTACAAGGAAAAAGATGCAACAAACTTATCCCGCCGCCAAAATGTCTGATCTCCTGACGATAAATTTCCACATCATTTAATGATCGAAAATAAACCAACTGTGGTGGTGGTTTATTTAGATTCGTAGACTAAAATTAGATAGGTAGGTATTACCTACCCACGTACCGTCTCAGATAGTTGTCTATAATTTGTTCATGTTGAAAACAAAATGATTATATCAATCAGAATACCAGTAATTAAAGTGGTTCAAGAAAAGTGTCCCAATGACAGAAATATCTCAGTAGGAAGTTGATATATCAGCTCATTTGACATACGGAAAAAAAAGTTTTGTTGCACCAACAAAATAATTTTGGTCATTTTTTTTTGTTAAATTGAACACAATTTTGCGAAATCAATGAAATATATGTTCATTCTGAATAAGCAACCTATTCAAAGAGACAAACTAATTTGATTGAAATATTTGCTTATTTGAACAAAAGTTTCATTTCATTCAACAACATTTATAGTTGACATAAAACAAATTTTGTTGATCCAACTATCATCTCATTGTTCAATCAATCATATGCATTTTGTCTATTCGACAAAATTGAATCAATTTTGACAAAGATTCAAGCAAATACAACATTATATTTTGTTGAGTCAACAATCATCTCATTGTGCAACCAATCAAACGGTTTTTTTTTCTATTCGACAAAATTGAGTTGATCATGATAACATTATATTTTGTTGATTCAACACATCACTATCAAGAAATATGTTGTTATTTCAAACGAATTACTTTGGTGGTGGGTTTGGGGTGTACATATTATACCTATTTAAAACATCCGTTAATATAATCATATTAGGCTGTCCTAGAATTCTAATGACGCTTATACAAGCCAATAGTCTCGCAATAGTCTTGAATCAACTGAGGAAATTGATCTCTAATCTAATGTAATTTCTCTTAGTTTTGAAATTCAGTTTCACTGGTCCATCGGATATTATCATTAGAGAGGGGCGAAATATTCACGAGAATATTGACGCTCTGTAACTAACTTAGATAAGTTTTAATCGTGGCCCGTTTGGATATTCGCGAAGTGGACATTATCCCCTTTTATTTGCTTTTTGTTTCAACTGTTTATCACATGACGGAAGTATGTCCTGAATAATGGCAGCAAATAAATCGCTGTGCCGTGATGGATTCGACTTGAAATTAAGTGCAAATTACCGCACAGGAAAGTGCCAGTTCTCAATCATTTTTCTCATGATAGTAATTGGCACAGGTGCCGTTCGATAAACTGCAATGTTTTCACCTCGGTTTTTACATGCCTTTGGGATATAATATATATCATTTCGTTATCAGATGACGATCGAAATTCGCAGACAGCTCCTGGACTAAAACTTTTCCAGCGACAAATCGGAACCTAACATTTGAAACCATGAAAACCAGAATTGTGAACGGATCTTGATGGCATTTATGTCAATTTTTCTCGAATGTTGCGTTATCAGATTATCTAATCAGTGGAAATAACGCGATTTGGAGTCTTCGAGTGGAGAAATTGGAAAAATCATTAATAAGTACTGTAATTTACGTATTCATTGAATTTTCTTCCCGAATTACACTCGAGCATTTTCCTTGGGACGAAGTAAACTTGATATTTATGATTCGAGTTTTGTTGCCTTTAGGAAATTCGACGAAAGAAAGCTCTAAAAAATTATTTAAAAAAAACAGACGAACCTGGTTCTCACTACTGAGTAATTTGAGCTGATCGTTGATGAGGCTGTACTTGGCGGATTCCTCTTTCCTGAGTGCCCTCTCTTTCTTCAGTTCGGGACTCCAGAAGGTCTTGATGGAGTGCATCGAAGATCCCAACTTCTGATTGGTCAGCTCCAGCTCCTTTTTCAAATTCGCCAAGTCTCGTTGCAGGTCCGAATTTTGGTGTTGAAGCTCCCCTATGAACGGCTGGTGAGACGTAGGTGACTGTCTAGCAGACCTAAGGACGACCAGCAGATAGTCAACAATTAATGAACATATTACCATATTATTGACAGATATTACTAATATTACGATATTATTGGAAGATATTACTTCTATTACTATATTACAAGCAGATATTACCAATATTCCAATATTACTAGCTGATATTACCAATAATACCTGTCATATGAAATATTACCAAATATTACTTGATAATACAAGTAATACCGGTAATACTAGAAGTATAATACTGTATTGGTAATATATTACTGGCACGATGTACACCATATTACCATAGTGAGCCACCCCTCGATTTGGCTTCTTCCTAGTTGATATTCATATCGTTTCCGCGAAGCAGAATTACTACGTATCATCAGCAAAACTTCAAATCGTTCCACTCATATTCATATCGAATAAGTTTCTCATGTAAATAATGAGACGTATCGGTCCCACCACCGTGCCTTGCGGTACACCACAGGGTTGTGTTAAGCTAGGCCGAAATCTATCAAGTCATTCACAACTGTTTAGGGATTAGACACAGTAATAACTGAATTAGGGACCACAGAAACCGTATTCATCATCAGGCTGGGGAAAACAACTCTAGCGTTAACAGAATGCCAATTGCCAAATTGCATCAGTTGTTCTTTTTCTCTTGTTTTGTCGGTTCTTCTCATGTATATAATAACTCCTTGTTAGGTATCATTTACTAGTCCTATCAAAATCATTCAAGTTGTTTTCATTCTCGTATTCTAAAGCTACTTGATGTAAATTGGAAATTTTCAGGGTAGTTATCCTATGTTGAATTTGAAACTTGTGAGCATAAGGACTAAGGAGTCCTAATTTTGGAATCAAAAAAGGACCATTTTATTGTGTCCTTCGTTTTTTCCAAACCAACATTGAACGGTTCTTTGGTGTTTGTCCTTACCTGGAGCTGTAGGGTTCATCGTCAAAATAGAGGCTACGGTCTAGGGATCTGTCCCGCCTGTCTCGAATGGGTAGGAATTCTCGTTCATGGTCCATGGTGGGACCCCTATCCAGGGATTGATAGCGGACTGACATTGGATTGGATGGTCTGAAAAAAAAAAAAGAGAAATGTGGGTAAAGTAATGTTAAATATTCCTAGACTCTTTCTGCAAGAATCAATTATGTTTTATCCGAGGTGATACCTTTACATGAGCAATCACCTTGATTACCAATCATCCCCCCTCGTATCACCCAATTCAAATCGAGATTTAATCGAAACATTCAGTATCCCAATTGGCTATTAACCGTTTATGAAATTCCAGCTTGATGTTTACACGACATTACTGGTAATTAACTGACTACATCTAGGGTAGCGTAGAGGGATGAAAAAGGGTAAAAACCCACGTGTAATCGGGGCAGGGATCGATGCGCGTTACCAAATCATAGAACATTAATTTTTCAGTCCTGAACTTCGGATGGAATTGGAAAACATTTTGGCATGAAAATATCGATAGAAAATTTTGTGAAATAATTAACCAAAAATCAGATAATATCGAGGATAATATATTGGGTCTTTCAGAAAGTTGGCATCATGTGGAAAATCTGTTGATAATATTGAAACGAGTATTGAAATTTATCTTGGACGTTAAGTTTTGCTTTAAAAAGTATATGAAATACGACCCAGTATACATCAACTCTGCATTTTAAACGGTATTATTAGTTTCTTGAAAGTTGGTAGCATGATAGAGCTACTGGTATATGAAACAGTTTTGTCAAAGTTTCTTCAATATTATAGAAATTACGTGAATATTAAAAAAATTTGGCATAGAAACACCATTCCATTGTAAACGTTTTCGAAATTCAAACATATAAAGCCTGTTTTCAGCGATTATTTTGGATAAATGTATACTCTTGACCTCGCCGAGGACCTCGCTTTTGACTTTTAGCGAATGTCACGAGAGTTCGACCGTCTTCTTCAAAAGAATAAGTATTCAAAATAACTAAAAAAACTAGGGCATATAAAGGGAAAACGGATTTCATATTCGTATTTAGCACATCGAAAAGGGATTAACCTTGTTTCTTTTTCGGGAAAAATTACAAAAAGTTCGTTTTGAAATTTCATCATGTCGAACGATGTGTCAAATTAATTATTGTTATAGTCGAATAAAAACAAAACAAAAAACTGAGTCTTTTTGCTCCAACACACTCATGGATTGGTGAATTTCGGTCACCAAAGTCTTGAGTACATAATTTCTCAATACATTCACACTAAAATTTGAAATCGGATTGAAATAACTCACAGTATTAAATTTATAATGCAATTATCATGGTGGCGAAATTTGAAACAAAAGTTGTATGATCGAAGTACAAAAACATCAACTGATTTGGTAGCACCTTGCATATCTGTCTCTAGTTGTATATTCTTCTCTCTCTAGGCACCATCTAGTAGCGTTGATTAAGGTATGGGTAGTAGTTTAATATTATTAGATCATTGATAATAACTAGGTAGTAGAATACACCCTAGAATAAACCAATTTAAAGAAAATAAATATTGGTGATTATGCGATTATTGACTCTTTCACACCGCTTCACACTGTATATACTGCGATAACTTTCAAACAAATTGACACATCGATATCGACATCAGATTTACAATATCGCACTCCCCTAGGATATATCTAAATATATATACTTATATAAGAGTATATTATGTAGCTTGCCATTACAAAATTTTCATGTGGTACATTTTTGGGCTGTTTTTAAATCATATATATTATGCAAAGTACTATTTCAGCCACCACTCTACAATTTTTTCTGGCGACTTCCATGAATGGAATAAACCGAGGAATAAATTATAATCCTAAGGACCAAACGAATTGTAAAATTCAAATTCACAGATATAAAACATTTTTGATTACGTATATTGACGTATTTTCCAAGTTTCGAACGTATATTGACCTATTTTGTTCACTTTTCCTTATCTGAAAACTCCGAGGAAAACTCATGTGGTACCTAAATTACTTAATCTAATTGAAAAATCTCCTTTTTCGTAGAAAATATGTCGACCAAAATCATTGGACAAGTAGTAACGTTGACCAGTTTATTCAAGGCAATCCACGTGGCATGCAGAATATCGTGCATTTCACAGAAAAGTTCCGATTAAAAATGTATCATGGTGTGGGATTTGATTTCACGTCGGGGAAAATAGGGGAAAAGCGGAAAGGCGATGGAAAATCCGTAGGAAAACTATATGAGCATGCTTTTGTTTGCACGCGAACGTCACATATCAACGTGGGCAATGTAGGCGAAAATCCCCGATATTCATCTGTTCGTTTTTTATATCACGTTGAAAATCAAATCATGTGGAAATCAGTAAATTATATTCATAGCGAAGCGATGTTTTCCTTAAACTTAGGGTAGGTATATATTATTGAAACAGTTGCTGGTTAGAGTGTTGAATATTAATCAAAGTATACAAAACTAAATACATGGTGCGTCAGATCCGAGGTCAGATCGCTCGGGCAACTTCGATTTTTTTTTGGTTCTGGTTGCCACGAAAAGGGATATCCTGTAATGTTCAGAGAACATCGTGAGAACCAAGTAAATTAAGGTAGGAATTGGTGTTCTTCTTGAATTTCTGGAGGTTATATGCCTCGGGGAACACCTCCCTTGGCAATGTGTTCCAGAGCCTCGCTGTTCGTTGGATGAACGAGTATTTGGAAAGAGATGTTCTGCAGGTCTCCAAAGTGACCACGAAGGGGTGCGAAGCGAGGTGCGAAGCCTTAACTCGAAGGGTTAATCTCGCGGGGACTGCCAAGGCCAAGGGAGGAACAATTGTTGATATTTCAGAAGAGCATCGACCATGAGAATATCTATAAAATAGAGTCAGATCGCCAAATTTTCTACGGTGTTCCAGAAAACTGAGTGAGTTTGTATGCGAGGCATCACCCACGAGAAGAATTGCCCTTTTTTGGCCAGAATCCAACAGTTTCAGAATATGTTTGGGTGCTGCACTCCAAAGTTTTTGGGATGCACTTTCAGCAATTGATCTCACGTGATTTTCCCAAGAAAGGTTATTGCTGATAGTAATACCAAGCATCGAAATGGATGTCTTCAAAGGTATGGTTACTCCTGACAAGCTTATGTTGGGCACAGTGAGATCGGCTTTTCTAGAGAAAAGGCATGCTTGTGTTTTGTTTGCATAGAAATGTTATTGGATCCTCATTCGAGAATAATTGTTGCCAAGTCCATATTTATGTTGTCAACATTTCTCTCTCGTTTGTTTCTGATTTGCGTGGCCGTTATTGGAGCCTTGGAAGAGAAGGCGGTATGGAGGGTACTATCATCTGCGAAGCTGTGTACTGGACATGAAGTTGCTTCCAACAAATCGTTGATATGGAGTAGAAATAGTGCTGGTGCTAGAATTGATCTTTGCGGAACACCAGCATTTATAATAAGAGAGTCAGATGAAACTCCGTCTACCACTACATAAAAGAGACCTGTTTGAGAGAAAACTAGCTAGCAGAGAGCATAACTGGGGAGGCAAGCCATGAGATGGAAGCTTGGCGAGGAGCCCGTGGTGCCAGACTCGATCTAATGCCTTGGAGATAGCAAGTGCCAAGTTTCACCATATTTTTCAATAGATTGCTGCTGATGTGAGACGTAAGCGAGCAGGTCACCAGTTGATCTCTGATGACGGAAGCCATATTGCCTATCGTTGATAATATACCTGAATGTTCCAGGTATTTCATGAGCTCGATGTTGATAGCTTTGCTAAATTCAGAAATTCTCCACGTCCTGTATGATAAATATCAATTTGTCATACATCCAAAAATACACCTTTCCTGCCTGATTAGTTTCATAGAATGGAGACTTTCCCTGACGCTTGAAAAAAATATATTTTTGACCTGTATGAGTACTGCATCGTGTAAACGTGTAAACCGCTAATTTGGAAAAATTTGTTATGGAAGAATATGAAAGCAGGTTCACTCGACCCCATTCCTTTTAAAAGAGATCTTCCAAAATTGCGGATTGTCCAGATGACCTTGAGAGACACTCAATAGAGAAACCTATAGATAACTGACAAAATGACCACAAATCAATTAATCTATCCCACAACGGGCAAGCATCAAACATCTCTATTGGTTAATCATAATTTATTGTTGACTATCTCATCAATAACATTCATGAATACAATTCTGGTATAATTTCCATCTAATCATTCCGAATATAGGTCTTGATTCTCAAACCCATATATGTATGAGTAAGTACCTACTCTACAGTATAGTTTTTTCAATTTGCTTCTGGCAATTCTGGCATCAGTTTGTCAATTTATGTTCAAGATGCCACTAATTACATATATTATAATAACTACCTACTCAATTTTGTGCTTTTTATAGGTTAATGAAAGAACATGACAATGTGTGTGGTAATTCGAGTTGTACAGAGTTCTAATTTTGCATTATTCAATTTCATAACGAACGGAAATACATTTGCAACGCACAAATTGAAAACACGTGGTGTATAATTTCAAAAGAACAAGGAAAGCAGAACTCACAACCATGGTTTGTTATGTACCCAACTAATTTCATTTTTTATTTATTTATTTATTTATTTATTATATTTCATCCCTACAGACCACACAGGTCTCTTTACAGGGATAAAAATGTGAATCAATATACTAATACATTAATACTAAGATATAAGGAAGGTTCTAGATGTAGTTGTATGTATGTTGAACCTAACCTATAAATTTAATAATAATAACAATTATATCTAAGGAAGAGGGTTAAACATTTTGTATAGTTTTTCATAGTACGCGTAGAAGTCAGTCTAGTTCAAACAGAGATATTTATGAGGTGATGTGTAATTGCTGATCGAAATGCATTTTGTGAGGTTGTCCATTCTAAATCTAGTAAGGCGTTGAATTCATTTGCTAGCCTCAACATGGCCACAAGCGGGGGTCTTGTAGTAAGCATAAGAGGAATATTAAACATTGCAAATGATCGTGTTCTTCTTGGGGGGATATTGAATCTTATTAGTGAGAGTATTTCAGGTGAATTGATTTTGTTATTCAGCAAATTATGCAAAAAAATCAAAACAGTAAGATTTCTTCTATTTTCCAGTGACATAATTTTAAATTCATTTCTCAACTGATACGATCGAATAGTTTTATAGTCTGCACGTTTATTATATTTTTTAAAATAAATGAATCTCAGAAATTTGTTTTGTATTTTTTCTAACTGACTCAATCTAGTGTGGTATTCTACAAACCATATGTGTGCACCAAATTCTAATTTAGGCCTAATTAGACTGTAGTAAAGGATTTTGAGAGAATTAATGTTTGTGAAACTTGTAGATTGTCTGATGATATATCCCAGCAAACGGTTCGCAGATTTCAATATGTTTGTAATATGTAATGAAAAAGAAAAGTTACGATCATAGGTGATACCAAGATCTTTTACATTTTCACAGCGCGCCAGAACCTCATTCTCAATTGTATATTCGAACAAAATTGGATTTTTTTTTCTTGTGATAGTCAAACCGAAACACTTTTTGATGTTGAAATATAGCTTATTACTCAAACTCCATTCATATAAACTGTCGATATCTTTTTGGAGCATAATACAATCACGTATAGTATCTATTTTTTTGAAAATTTTCAAATCATCCGCAAATAATAGACTTTTTGAAGATTTTAGTACCGACGGTAAATCATTGATAAAAATCAAAAATAGCAGGGGACCTAAATTTGAGCCTTGCGGAACGCCCGAATTGGCTTCAAATTTTCCCGAAGTATTTCCATTATGTCTTACCACAGAATATCTTTCTTTTAAATAGCTGCTGATTGTCTTGAGGAAATTACCAGATAACCCAAACTTGTATAGTTTCGATAACAATACGTCGTGATCCACTTTATCGAAAGCTTTACGAAAATCGGTATAAATTGTGTCTAGTTGTGATTTTCCTTCCAAAGTCTCGTACACATGGTTTCCAAAAACTAACAAGTTTGTACTGATAGATTTATTAGCCATGAAACCATGTTGTTGGGGCACAATATACTTTTCAATGTAGTCATATAAATTGCGATAAACTATTTGTTCAAATAATTTAGCTGGTGCACACATTATGGATATGGGTCTATAATTTGCTATGTCCAATTTGTTTCCGGATTTGAAAATTGGTGTGACTAATGAAGTTTTCCAATGTGAGGGAAAAGTATTAGAAGAAATAATGAGGTTGTAAATGTGGAGCAAAGGTTCTCTCAACCATTCTCCACATCCTTTCAGTAAGTAGGGTGGAATCCCATCTTCCCCTGATGCTTTTTTAGGTTTTAATTTCTTCAAGGCGCTGTTGTAATCTGAAACGGTAATTTCATCCAAAACAAAAGTTTCATTACATGCATCGTTACTTTTATATTCAACACCCAGATTATATGACGCTTTTTCTGAAGAATATACTGAGGAAAAAAAATTTGCAAACGCATTAGCAGTTTCTCTTTCTTCAATGTTTTCGCTGTTAAGTGTGTACGAACCAATATTCGTGTTACTTTTTCCTTTATATGCTACATAATTCCAAAATTTACTTATATCTGTTGTCATATCCTTTTCTAACTTTTCAACATATTTTTTTTCTTCTAGTTTAATCAACTTTTTCAGCTTCTTTCTCGCTTCAGTATACTTATCTCTATAAAAATTCGATATCATTTTTAATTTCCTATACTTTTCTTTTTCATTCAGCAGAGTTCTAATTTCGCTTGTGAACCATATTGGAAAACATTTGGAATTAGTCGGTACTACGTTTTTAGGTACATGATTATCGATAACCCTATACCATACTTTATAGAAGTTATCTAAAGCAACGTTCACATTAGTTTTTTCAGATAAAACACTTTCCCAATCAGAATCTCGAATGCTATTACTCAAATTAAAGAAATCTGCTTTTTTATAATTGTATCTTGATTTTTTTGTGACATTTGCATTGCATTTCGAATCACTGTCTATAGTAATAGAAATCTCGAGGGCAGGATGATATGCGTCTTCTTTCACAAAAGGGAGGAAATCCCTATTTACCCTGCAATTGTTCAGATTATTTTCTGAGCTGATGATTAAATCTAAAGTTCTGCCTTGAAAATTTTTCACGTCATTATATAATTTGAAATTATTGAAATCAATGAAATCATTGAAAGTATTTAGAATGCTATTCGAGATATTGGAATCATAGTTTATTCCAGTTATATCGCGTATATTGAAATCTCCCATACAATGTAAACTTTATCAACATTCTGCATCATATTATCTTGTAAAAATTCAAATGCTGATTCATACACATCACATATGCTACCAGAAGGAATGTATATGCCACAAATTGTATATTTACATTTCCTCACCTTCATCTCAATAATAACTAATTCAAAGTCAGTGCTATGTTTGATAATTTTCAAAATTTTATACTTTTTTTTAATTGCTATGAGAACTCCACCTCCCTTAGATTTTTTTGTATACTCCAGGTTTCTGTCAGATCTTACTAAATTATACAGACCTTGATCTACTACTTCTCCATCACCAACCCCTTCTTGTAACCATGTCTCGACAGCAATCACAATATCATAGTCCATGTTCAAGGTACTTCTATAGAATTCATCGCATTTAGTGTTTAACCCTCTGCAATTTTGGTAGTAAAGACTAAGGGTAGAAAACATACTAAGCTATACATCTTTATCAGTGAGCTCAATAATAGAAAAACTAAAAAGAAACATTACATCAGTAGCATAATTAGCCAAATATAAACATTGGCGAAAAATATATTGATATTGAATTGGAAAAGAAATAAAATGAGATTATTGATATTAATTAGAAATATATGAATTGGTGTAAACCCGCCTTTACCTAAAAAAATATTCATTTACTGATACACTGCAAAAAACAAAGGCTTATAAGTATTTACTGGTCTTTTAGTGTCTTTTAGTCTTACTTAGTTTTCGTAGGTATAATAATTAATATTATAGAAAAAGATTAGAAGGTGGTTCAGTCGAGTCCTATTCTCAAGATTCGATTCGATTTCTCATCCTTCAAAACACAAGATGAATATTTGCGAAAATTGCAAATTACTATGATTAGCGTTTGGTACAAACTTTTGGCGAAACCCTTTATTCTGGCAGAATTTCCGAGAGAATTTCGGAGGACATGCTATGACTATGAGAAACTATCAATCATCTTATTTCAATTCAAATTGATTGTTGTATAAATATTTATCTCGGTCTGTTGAAACCAGACGCAAGTTCATCTCTATTTATAAAAATTCCAATTGGAACGAATTGGAATTAGGTCGCGAGTGTCTGCTTTTTAAATTACGATCGCATCAGGGGTTATATTGGAAATTACTTTGAATGATTGTCGAAGAAAATTGAATGAAAATACCAAGGAAAATTTTGAATTACCGAAATCAATAAATTATCGAGATTTGAATAGAACCATAGTCAACTATATCAATTCCTCGATTATTAGTTCTTATCATTTTGATTTCAAATCATTCTATGATCAAGTGTTCAATTGTTCAGATATAGTAATAACTCAGAAAATGATAAGCATATATAACGGCCTCAGTATAATTATTGAAGCACTTCTGTAGAACTTCTCTACTCGTAGATCAGCAACATATTATTATAATATGGCACTTTTACAATATCCCCAAGCGTTGTAGTAATTTTTTAACTATCACTCTTCCATTGATTCTATTTTGATCATAGATGCATCTATAATTGCCTTTCTGGATATAGAGATACAATTCATCAACAACTCCACATATGATCGAAATGAATCACCAGAAATAAACTAAATAGAAAAGCTAGTCGATATTTTCCTCTTCAAGGTGAAGTTGTAGTCCAGGTTGTAGTGTTTGTCGCCATTGCTTCTTCATTTGCCTTGTTTACGTATTCAGTTTCTGTCTCGGTTTCTGTAGATCATTGAAGCTGCTGTTTACGCGATACAAATGGCAAAGAAACGATTTGTGAATCGTTACCTCGGGCGATACATACATAGAAAACTAAAGCGGCCCTAGTACGAGTCCTTGAAGCACTGCTACTTATAATTGTAACGCTCCTCGATAAGAAGTTGATGATTATCATCGTTATAAACCTTCCACCTTCCACAATAAGCCAGACAATAATCTTTATAATTGATGTAGTACAGTTTTTTGGACAGATTCTCAAATAGGTTGACACTTTTGGATTTCAAATAATTTTACAATTCACAACCTGTGATTAGGTTTTGAACTAGAGGTAGCGGAGTATCATCATTTTAACGACCATATTATATAATTATTGTTGACACAATAATTGAAGTTAGAGTCGCTTCTTACATGAGTTAGCGAACCGGCCCTAATAGTAGCCTTTATGGATTGTGGCTATCAACCATTTCACTACCCCCATTAAGTTTTGAGCGATTTGAATATCTTCATCTCTACAAGATGAATCTAGGTATTTGCCTTTACCGTCTAAACTCTTCCGAATACCACAAAGATAGCGATCTGTGCTACCTTCCATACATAGAAAACCAAATCAGCCCTAGTACGCGTCCTTGGAGCACTCCTACTTATTGTTGATGTAGTTAGTATAGTTTTTCGGACAAATAGGTTGACATGGGTTGACCTCTCATCAAGTTTCAACGTCCATTTAACTTTTTTATTTCTTTCGTTGATCCATAACTGCAGTTGGAATCTTTGCATACCTAGATAACTTCAGCCCTTCAGCGGCTCAAGTAGTAGCCTTTATGGATTATAGCTACAAATTGTTTCACAACCCCTATTGAGCTTTCAGCTAGGTTTTGAGCTACTCTAATAACTTTTTTTCGGACAGGATGATAGGTACACACTACCAATACCACAAAGTAAGCGATCTGTAACATCTTCCTTGCATACATAGAAAACCGAGACGGTCCTCGAACGTGTCCTTGAGGCACCCCCCTACCTGGTAGCGCTCCTCGACCGGTGGTGTCCGCCCGGTCCCACCGTCATAGGCCTGCCCCTGTCCTCCAGCATGGGACTGCCCAGGTCCTCGTCCCGGTAGTACGGCGACGAATGGTGGTACGGCCCGCCGTACTGCTCGGGCGAGTTCGTCTGCCGCGCTGGCTTCCTGCCCAGGGGGCTGCCGCCCGGGTACGCCCTGCTGGGCGACCGGTCGACCGTGGGCAGCCTCACGCCGCGCGATCCGCCCACGTACGCGTCCCGGGACATCTCATGGCACGCTAGAGCGTCGGTTCGCGGGCACGGCACTCTGCGACCTCTCCGAGTCTCCGCTGTGACGTTCGCTCCGCCGATCTAGCTGGCACTGGCGCGCTGCCGAAGCGGCCTGATCAATGAATCGACGGGTGTAGAGTAAGATGCGCGCGCAGCTACCACGCGGCGCCTACACGCAGGCGGGGTAGGCGGGGGGGTGAGGGGGTGTCGAAGCGAGGGTGGGTCAGCAGGGCCGGATTCGGTGCAGAGTTGCTTTGTGTGTCCTTTCAATATACATTTCATTCGATTCATATTTCTTTTGTTTAGTTTTTGAGAAGAATAATGTCATTCGGACTCGATTTTCTGTATGATATTCTCTTGTTCAAGAATCACAATAGAAAATTGCGTGTATGTAAGGGTGCGCATATATATTTTCGGTCTGGTTTTTGCTTGATGTTTCTTTTCCTGTTCGATTTTTAAATTTAAAACGAACTAGAAATGGGACAGCTGAATATTTCTTTCAATTTAGAAATTTTTTCTAGAATAAATCTCAATTTTATCATTGTGCTCACCCTAAATGGGACTCTGTGGTGAGTGCGTGGAACAGGAACAGAGATTGCGCACATCAGGGTGTCTAATAATTGCATATAGAGCCAGGAGAGAGAAAGATAGAGCCGATAGAGAACCGATCAAGTGTTCTGATGGCACAGAATGACTTATCAATTTTGACGAAATCATACTTCATACTTCAACTCCCAAAGAGTCGACTGGTCAACCCAAAATGCGTATTTGTATCGAATAATTGTATACTCACCTTTTATCAATATTATGAATTTTAAGGTTGTTAGGAGATTCAATGGTAAAATTCCTTTCAGAAAAATGAGTTCTTCTTTGTTTGTTTTTTCCAAAGATTCATATAGAGAATATAACAATTCCATCCCAGATAGCACAAATACCTTTTGAGGCTCTTCTGAGGCGTTCACAATAATGTCCTCAGGACGTCGAGGGCGAGCCTGAGGACGTTCCTAGACCGTCCTCCTGTTACCGTTCTCTACATCCTAATAACGTCTTAGAACATCCCTATAAGGTCTTCTGGGACATGTATAGGACGATATGGGAACAACTTTAGGCAGTTTTCAAAAATGTCCCTAGGACATCTTTTGATGACTTTTTATGGATATTCAATAAATGGGCAGGATGTAAAACGAATGAATGCGAAAAATTCAATCGGCAATTCTTTGTAGAAAAACCGGGTGGGTCTTTCATATAAGAAAAATGAAGCTCAGCAACCTTTGTTTATTAGATTCAGCACCCTGAGGGCAGCAAATGGCGTTTATTTTTTATACAAGTTACAGAGGAAGGAAATTGGGCAGACATTTCTTACTACGGACAGTGCACCCAATAAATATTTTGATGCTGTTCCCCTATAATTGCAAAGGGTAGAAAAAGCCATTCCTATAAAAATTGTTAAGAATCAACAATTCATGAGAAAATAAATATTAATTAGGTATGTTAATGTTAGATAATTTTGCATAGAGTAGAGAATTTTATTCGAATCAAAATTCATCTAGTACAGGCGACCATCATATTGATATTTTCATTACAAACCTATATAATGGACAAATATATTAAATAAGTCCATTTTCTAACTTTCTGATTTTTCAGAAAAAAATCTGCGCGCTGTTTTGGCCTACTCTCCAGGGGGCTCTTCCTAAACAAGGGTTGCTTTATTTTCATATTATGTAAAAGACTCCCCCTATTTTTCGACAAAAAATCACCTGTCAATATTTTCTGCACTCATTTATTTATACCCTGTAAAATATAAAGGCAAGACAAATCAGTAACATAACAGTATTTATTGAAAAGTGAAACAAATTTATATCAACTCAGAATATATACACAGTGTCAATTTGAAAACTTTCGTTCACCCTGACTATCATTTGTACCAAATGTGGCAGTTTTTCAAGCAGTTAACTTTTTGGGAAAACGCTATAACGCGCAGATTTGTTATCTGATTGTGGGTTCATGTATATATACAGAGTGGCCCAGAAAAAAGTTACAACCATCAGTACATGGAAGATATCAAGAATTATATGCGGATTTCAAAAATAACATAAATATTTTGAAAAAATCCAGCTGATGCGGTCATAACACATTTTTGAGCCACCATATACCTACATATACATGAATTTACCGTCAGAAAAACCTAAGCCGAAAGTAAAAATGCTGGGCGTTTTCCCAAAAAACAAACTGCTGACTTTTAAATGAATTTGTTCCAACCTCGCGTCTTCAATATATTTTTCTAATAATACTGATAATAATTATACAAAATAAAAAAGCACGCGGCTAAAAAATGAATAACATAATGATAACAATAACAATAAAACAAAATAAAAAGCATTCAGCTAAAAAATCAATAACATAATAATAATAAGAATAATACAAAATAAAAGAGCATTCTGATAAAAAAATAATAATAATGGAATGAAAGTAAACATCACAAAGATAAATTCAGGAACAAAATTGAGAAAATGAGAACAGGTGCATACCAAATCCATTTTACCTGGAACAAAAATTTAAAGAATTTTAGATAGGTAATGAATATAGCACAAAATGTATGTCAGTGAATTTTTCAAACAATCATAAGAAAGCCCAGTCTTTTTTGTGAAAAAAAATATATATATATACATATTGATACTGCAGCTCACCTATCAATGGTAGTGGCTTTCTTTGCTCTTTTTTGCAATCTATCTTTAGCATGCCGCATCCAGTTCTTCATGCACGACTCGATACTTGCTTCAGTGACTGAATCCTTGAGTATTACGTTCCTCTTGATTCCATCTGAATATTTTTCAAACATCAATTAACATGTTAAGATCAGAAAATTGCATTACCTTTCATTGCTTGGGCAATTTTTAAATCACCAAATTTGTTTTTCTGTTTTTGACCCATCCAACTGAATTGCTGGATGAGTTCATCTTTAACTGTCCTCTCCATTGCTCTTCTAACAGCTTCAGATAAAGTTGAACCTCCCAACTTGGTGACATACTGAGTCTTCAATACATAAAAAAATATTTCATTATCAAAATTAGGTTTCAATTCAAACATTGAATAAGTATCTTACAAATTTTTGGTGATTTCTATCATTGAATAAATATAGTTCAAAATTATTGAGTTCCTCATCAGTTTTTATTGGGAAATAATTTTCCATTTCCACATCTTCATCAGGTATTAATGTGTTATCCGTGGTCATTTTTTCTAATATTTTTGTTATGTCTGAGGATAGCATATCAACTTTGTGATTCAATACAACTAACTGCCGTAGTATGCGGTTATCTGAAACATATTTCTTCCTATACTACATAAATTATTAATTTCATGATTTGTATGTTCATATTGAGAAAAAAAACATATTCATGTTTCCATATAAGTTGTCCAATATTTATTTACTGTATCATCTGAGCATAAATGAAAAATTGTACCAAACTCACCAGACTGATTAAGTTGTTTGTGGTTCACATTTTTTGGTGTTCCATGCACTTGTTTAACTGTTCTACATATTGATGGAGTCGACTCTGCGTTTTCTTTACCCATGTTATCCATACTGATTGAGTCCACATCTGACAAATGATCTGAAATTCAAATAATCGTGCAATCATAAATGTTGTAGAACAGTATTCATGTTGAATACATACCAATTATTTCAACACTACACATACTACTTGTTGTTGATGGACATGAAATGTCTACATCATCATCAACATGAACATCAAGCCCTGAGCAAGAGCTTTTTAATGGTGGCACGAAAGCTGAAAGATTTTTTATACATACAGTAAAATCAAATTTGCAGTGATATTTCATATTAGAACATTCTGATCTGATACAATCACTGAAGGGATATAAAATCAGAGCTGAAAGATTTTTTATACATACAGTAAAATCAAATTTGCAATGATATTTCATATTGGAACATTCTGATACAATCACTGAAGGGATATAAAATCAAATATATCCAGTTCATAATACAGATTTTGATAAAAACGTACCAATTATATTGACTTTTGAATTGCTTCTTGGTAAGGAAATGTCTTTATCAATCATCGAATTTTGTGTCACTACTGATTTACTTGTCGATGGTGATACGAAAGCTGAAATTTTTAGTGTATTCATATTTCCAGAATGTTCATATAATTATGAATTCTATGATTTTGCTATACTTACATTTGTCAGGTAGAGCTGGTGGATGTGGTAATCGACTTTGTGAACAACCTTCCTCCTCGTCACTGCTATAAATTTTTTTTGGTTTTCTTGATCTCTTGAGCGAATCTCCTTCAGAAAGAACATCTGAATCTTCAGCCATCCTACTACAAGCCATCCGAGCCTTGAGAAAATTATCTACAAGGTTATATTAAAGTAATTCACAGTACAAAATTATTCAGAAAACTATTGACAACATTCAAACAATTTGTAAATCAATATTTGTTTGAATATGTTATATATCTCACCATATGTTTTTTTGTTATTATTAGGAAACCTTATTTCGAAAATTTCCCAATCTCTTGTTGGTTCTGCACAGTTGACAATCATAGAATTTAACTTTATACCCTTCACTGCTGGCCAATAGCTCAAATTTTCTTCAGTTCCTATGAGCCATTTTAGAGGAACAGTCTCAATTGAATTCTCCTCAACGAATATAACTACAGTCCACATATTTCAATTGTTTTTCTAAAAAAGTCGATACAGCATTGAAATGAATCGAATTTCAGACCATCTACAAATTCAAGAACACTGATCCAAATAAGTAATGAATGATGCAACATCAGTTATGGATTTGGGTGTTCCAGAATATGCTTCGCATATTAAAACCATAGTTCACATGAGCAAGTTCAATTTCGATACGAAATCAAATACTTCAGATAATTAAACAATATACTGTAGGCAACAGATTACCAAATTATAGAATTCATTTGTATGTGAAACTAAAATGTGATTTCTCATCCAATAATAAAGTCACAGGAAACACCATTCAACTATGGGTTTCACTAAAAATAGCATCAACTTTTATCATTCAAATATAACTTCCTATAATATTTAATATTTTGTTTGGAATATGTTCTGGATATACATCATCCAATAATAATGTCAAGGGAAACACTATTCAACTATAGGTTTCACTAAAAATAGCACCAACTTTCATCATTCAAATAGAACCCCCTATATTATATTTAATATTTTGTTGGGAATTACAACTGGAAGTTCAGCAATATCAAGTTTGATGGAGGTATTTTGAACTTTCTCTATCATACTCATTGGGCATATGAAAGAGTTTCTTGCTAATATCTCTGTACTCATTTGACATATTCCTATCAAGTGCCATGGTATTCTAGAAATCTGAAATCCTGATAATAATCCCTAACCCAACATAAAATAATATACAGTGTGTTCCATTTGAATTTGAATATCAGAAGTTGGTATCATTTTTGGCAGAACCGGAGGTATTTTGGCATTCTCATTAACTTTGCTAAAGCAGTAAATTTCATTTTGGTCCTATACATCACAATAAAATATTTCAAAAATATTCAGAGAAAATGCAAATAGCAAACATGCAAATACATCATCTTATCCAATACAAAAAAAAAACATGAAAAATAAATCAAATGGCCATGAAAACAAACTATTGTTGAATAACGACAGTAGGCAGCTATTTTCATTACTGAACACTTCACCCATAAACTGAGAGTAGTAGTTTTGAAAATTTCCTATTAAGTATACATGTTTATAAGTACAATGATGCAAAATTTCTGATGAGTATTTGTAGCCATAAACAGGGCGTTTCATGAACATGTGTCAAAAATTCAAGTGATTCTAGACAAATAATGCTAGTCAGTTTTTTTCTTATTTCAACCCAAAGAATATCACCCCTTGAACTTTTGACACAAGTTTAGAAAACATAATATAATATATGAAATTAAATCATTGTTCACAGTGTAGTAGAGGAATAGCAACATCACTACTAGGTAAACTCAATTTTACATATTTAATAGATACATCCTCCAATGACCAACATTCAAGTTCACCTATATCAGAAATTTCATATATTCCTGTATAAGAAGAAGGACAGGGTTGCAGATAAAAATCTTGACAATTATTGTATTTCTGCCCAATCACCATAAGATTATCATTTTTTGTTGCAATATTCCTGACAACAATAATAGACCCATCTCTCAACCTCAAACAATTATTCGGATGTGTAATTTGAATGCAAAATGTTGGACACCTGTATTCCATGTATTGAGGAGAATCACAATTTTCAGTAAGGGGACCAGCAGAATGTTCCTTTGCAGGCCCAAGAACTATAATTTCAGAATTTAATACATTTTCATTTGCTTTCATTGTTTCTTGAAAACGCTTCACAATCTGTGAGATTGGATTATCTGGTTTTCTGGTGTATTTCAAGAAAACTTGCATGAAATTCTCGAACTGAAAAGCACCAAATGAGTCTAAATTCCCAAACAATTTCACATCACTTGTGAGATGGATTAAATTATGTATATTATGGGAAACTAAATGTCTACCATACAGAATTATGAAGGTTTGTACAAAATAGATCAACAACGAATGAGCATAATCAATTTTATCAACAGAAGACTTGGAATTGGCCAAAATCGAAAGTGCTCCATGTAATGACAAAAAGTTGATATAATTATCACGGGGCAAGTGAGCTTTGAGGACAACAGGGCCAGTATAAAATAAGAACTGCCGGAATTCTGTCGCTTTCCAGCGTTTACATTCATTGAGAGGCCTAGGCTTCCTACAAAACTCCATAGGAATATTTTTCGACTGAGATACTAATGAATCTGATAACTCCTGCACTTGATGTGCAGATAACTTATGTGGAGGAGGACCATTGCACCATAATCCTGAAATGAGTTTTTTCATCACACCCAAACAAATCAGATGCATATAGTCCAGGGGAAAACCAGTTATCATACCAAATTCAGGAATGTTTTCCAATATACTAGTTCCCCTGTGATGTTCTTCATTTCTTTTTGTCAGGAAATGTTCATCTGTGCGAACTGTAGAATGTAAATCAGGAAAACACATTCTATTGTTAATAAATTCACCCTCTTGTTCACATTTTGTACAAGAAAATGATCCTGTATGGTACTTAATATTCTTAATGAATGCTTTTGCTGGAGCATCACAAATAAACCCTTTAATTTTCATAGAGAATTGAACATTATTTATCATAAATCCAGACTCAACTAATCGAGAAGCTTCCTGAACAAAATCTTCCAAAAACAAATTGGGATTTTCTGGTTTCTTGTATCCATGATACAAGCCTACCAAACCCACAACATTAGGATACTTATACAATGACACTAAAATCGGATAAAGCTCACTACTGGAACTCTTACTGAGTGGCAGCCCATCAATATTAACCAAAATTTCACACACTGACTCTTGTATTTTATTCATCTGTATCAAATAACACAAACATTTTTCCAATCCCAAGTGATGATATTCACCAGGTGGAATTACTTTCTTTGAGATTGTTGATCTTGGAGTTGCTAACAGCGTACGGGGATCAGATGGCAAACTAGTTAAATGGGGCTTCAAAATTTTCAAAAGTTCATGAAGTGCTGAATGAGTTATATTATTGTTAATAGACCAATGACGAAGCTTTTCGTTAATCTCAGAATTACTTTGAACTTCCTGAACATGTCTATTGGCTGGTAGTTCATTCTCCAATACCAATGCTGATTCGTCGGTTGACTCCTCACTCGACTCATTTTCTGAATTAGTGACCAGATCGAATAAATCAGGTATATCAGATGAGTTGATTGCAGGCGGTGAACTGACTGATGATGAAGCAGAAAGCTCCACCTCAACATTGTAAATATCACTATCCTTACTAGAACACGGCATGCTTTCCGCTTCATGCCATTTTTTCATAGATCGGTTAACATTCATTAATAATGCCTTTTTAGCAGGCGGTGCCCGTGCCATTTTGAGAAGTATAATAAATTACCTCGTAAATTACTATATTCACAACTTACTGAAAGCAAAGCACAAATCGAATTATAGTCAGTTAATGAAATCACAAACAAAATACTTGCGAACCAACAGCAAACTCAATAACCAAACCACGATAGAAATTAGAAAACCAAACATAAACGACAGACGACAGACGAGTCAAACGACAATTTCTCAATGGATGTGACTAGCATTACGTCGAGGGTGCAATACCAACACACACCTAAATAAATCGGTGGCCAGTTGACGGACGATAATTCAAGAATGCCTGTTTTGATATATCACTGTGTTGAAAAAAATTGCCACAGCATTGAAATAATCTACCAAATAAAAAAAAATCGAATTTTGAAATTATTTCATCATCACTGCTTCTGTTGATGATGCGCGTTAATTCGAATTATTTGATTTAATTATCTTGTGTTATGGAAAATAGAAGAAGTTATAAGCGTGACGTCATTTATTGACATAATAAACATCAATTTCGAAAGTAGACGTGAATATTTGACATAACAAACGTCATTCTTGTCAGATATGTATACAATACAAACAAAAAGCTAGTTTTCGTTTGGGAACATCAACATCATTATGTAACCATCAATTGAATCTATTTGAACGTGAGCACAATTCTTTACTGGCACCAGATCAAGAAAACCTCGAGAAAACCACAAAACTGTTGGCTTCCCTGTTTCAAGTCTTGAGTGATTTTTTCATATCTGTTTATATAGCCGCCAAGCGTCAACTTAAACATTTCATTTTCTGCCGAGTTGGGAACATTTGGAAAGGGAATATTTTAGGTTAGGTTTATGTAATTATAAATTTTTGTGTTTATTTAATTATTCGTTTGTTTTTTCTATCGATTTACTTGATTACTTTAGTCTTAGTCTTTAGTATACACACAGCAAGCGACATTTGGAGCAAATAATGGGTTCATAAATTCCCACAATAAATGGGTATCAGTCAACTCACCCCCATGTGCACAACCCCAAGGATTTTTAAAGCCAGCAACAAAGAATTCGAAATTGGAATCATTCTTGGTGTCCTTTCGAGTTGACTTGTCTGGTTGATATTTGAATCACATTTTATCAATCACAACTGAATAAATGATTAAGTAGGTATATGAAAAATATTTAATTTTTCCAAACTAGTAAACAGCCATCATAATTATTGAATCGATCAGTATTCACTAGGTACTATCAGTAGTACCTCAAAATGTCCTCTGAATACATCCTGAGGACCTTAATAATTAACAGCCTCAGGTTGCCGATGAAAGGACCGATCTAGAACATTGATGGCGTAAATCTTAAGCCCAATGACGTTCCTAGGTTGTAGAAAATAAGACGTCCTCTCCAGGCTATTGGCGACACATTGAGGCCTACCTTAGGCGAATGTGTGCTATCTGGGATGCTATCACATAAACATTTTTTCACGAAATTTGATGAAATCTTGTCTATTTATATCCCAAATACACTGTAATTTTTTTGATTTGAAATATTCATTTTCTCACCTTTTTTCAACTTAATATCGGAGGAGCAGCATCCTGCTTTTTCGAAAAAAAAAAAAAAAAAAAAAAAAAAAAAAAAACGATAGGCTTTTTGTTTGCTGAAATCTCTTCATTCTAATGGTGTAAGGAAAAATATACATATACATCATTGTGGTAAATGTTCTCAGAAAATGCAGAGTCACAATAAAGCAACGACAGTTACATTTATTAGACGAATTCTCCTTTACTTTCTATCTTTTTTATTCAGAAGAACTATTTTGGCATGTTTTTTGCAATCTCAATGTTTTATATGGATTCTGAAATTTTTCTTTTTGTCAATGTTACATGTAATCTTACGTTTTTCGAGTAATTACTGTCAATTTCAATAAATAGCCAGAATTGTTACATACTGATTTTAAAAAAAAATTGGATTCGAGTTTCTTTTCTTCGCATTTTCTGAGAACATTCACCCTTGTAATGAATATATCTTTTATTTCATCAGAAACTAGAGATTTCTATGAACAACACGGCTACTGACTTTTTTGAGAAAGCAGATATTTTGAGGCCAGAATTTCTTATTGAAAAGTCGTAATAAGGTGAAAAAATGCATATTTTGAATCAAAAATAATTCAGTGTGTTTGAGACGTAAAGAGCACATCATGCAGATGAGGAATGCTTGTTTAGGGTCGTTAGAGTTAGAGTGTAGATCTCTGACTGATCCTGGTTAGGGTGTAGATAGATCTCTGAAATTCTAAATTATTACAGTTTCCTTCTAATAACAGAGTTCTTCAAATCGCTAAAGATTTACTCGGCAACAAGGTTGATAGAACTGATGATTATGTGGATCTGACATGACTGACAGTTTGTATCCCTTCTGAGAGGTGCTGAGAGTGCTGAGTGCTCGATGCTCGATTCGACAATTTCGACATTCGACAACTGCCACTGTGCACCAGTGCACCACTGAAATTACTTATTTGCCCTCATTAGCCTTTCATTAGTCATCATAAATCATATTGAATTTCGGAACGTACTCGTTTTCAGCTGAATAGGGAGAAAAGATCTAGTGGGCTGGAGTATTTTCAGCCATTGTCTGCTAAATATAGAGAAAAATCTAGTGGGCTGGAGTATTTTCAGCCATTGTCTGCTGAATATGGAGAAAAATCTAGTGGGCTGTCCAGCTGAATATTCGGGCTTTACACTTTCACAGCACATCCTGTATAACTCAAAAATCCCAAAACAAGAAGAAAGCTACAGAATTCTGTAAACTTTAGCGACAGGCAGCTACGTATCGCTGCGTCGCGTCGCTGCTGTAACACCGCTTCGGGTATTCTCGTTCGCTCGTTGGGCAAACATATTACCGGTAGGGAGAATCTTGTGTCGTTCATTGCCGTTTCCATGGCAATGTCCTATTCTGACATCTATCAGCTGATCGCCGTATTCATGTAAAATAAATCGTCACGAGTCTGCGCATCGTGTTTATCAGCACGCACAGATTAGAGCACGATTAGAGAAAGGGGAATAGGATAGATTGTGTTCTGTGTCTGACTGTCTGTGGGAGAAAGGGTTTTTGCAAATGGCCGCCGATAAAAGTGGTCGAAGTGTGATGGATCCCCAAATCGCTTTACAAAATGGTACGAACGATCGTTTGAAAAGATTGTATCCAGCTGTGGACGAAACCAAGACCCCCCTGCCGAAATCTTGGAGCCCCAAGGACAAGTACGGCTACATAGGGCTGTCGCAGAACAATTTGCGTGTTCACTACAAAGGTAAGGAAACTTTGCGAGCTGTTAAAAAATGGGCTTGGACGCAGTAGAGTTCTCGTTTTTGCGTCGTTCCTAGACGTTAGTAGTTTTTTTTATATGTAATTGTGAATTCTGGGAAGTGTCATCGACCATGAGAGTTTCTACAGGATGCTAAGTTACAAACAAAGAAATCAGCTGATTGTGACATTGGGTGAAAACAAGATGATCAACCCGATCAAACCCCTCCGAAGTTCGATGGTCGACTCGTCATGCGCTCACCCTGTCACTAAAAAAATAAATGTTATAAAACAAAACAAAAACCTGGCATGCTTAATCATCACCACTAATGAAAAATCTGCAATTTATTTTGAAATCTATAATCCTAAGTAGGTTAGATCATTAGCATGCCCAGGTCATTCAAGGAAATCCAACCCACCTATTAAAATATACATAGCAGATTTTCTTCCATTATAACAGATTAGTCAAATTACAACACTTGTACTTATTTTTGTGATTCAGCATTTTATCAAGAAAAAATGACTTTAAGGGAAACTCAGCTCTATGCCTATGCCACCCAATGTTGTTCATAAATTATTCAAGGTTAATGTTGGTGTGATATTTGTAGATGTTACTTCCTACATATTATTTATTGCATGGGTATTTTTGTGGTAGCAAATATGTTTCTAATTAATGTTGTTAACAATGAGGTTGTTGATACACTATAAACTCTGCTGCAAATAGATTTTCCTAGCATCAACACTGTCCTCAGTTTTCTTTGTTTTGTTTCTTGTTATCTTGGGATTATTGATTTCAATATGGCAAATAGTGATTGTTTGGATTATTTATGCAATTACATTATCTTGTTACATTTTTCATACCTATAGGTATCTTGAAGTCTGGCTCAAGGTACTACTATTTTTCATTGAACAACATTTTTGCATAATTCACAGTTTTTAATCAGTAAATAATTGATAGGTAGGTAAAAAAACATCTTTCTAAACTTTCAAAGCACAATACATTGTTTCTCTTGTTCTACCTAATTCTGCTTTATTATAATTTCATACCTAGTTTCTTAGTGAAAAATGTAGTCGTCTGTTGGGAGTTTCATTGCACCACAGATCAACAAACCTGTGCCATGTATTTCACTAGTGAGACAAGTGCTTTATTTTATATTCTACTAGGGACTAATGACTTCAATTTCGCCACATTCGAGAATTTTGGTTTATTTTTGATTGGTTCAAAATCCAGGAAATGAAAACTGTCTATCTGCGCAATTCTCAAACAGCATTAGAACGGAAATATATCTAACAATTATTGTAGAACTCACCAGAATTAGATATCCTATTTATAAGTAGTATATCTTTCACGCAGACGTGGAGTTTAATGATGATGATAATAATAATAAAAAACACAATCTGGTAAAGCTTTATTCCGCCTTATCCCCTCGTTTTGACGTATGCTTTATGTTGTGTTTATGTTTGTTTTGAACATGACTACCCATCCCCCTTGGTGTAGGTACTATGTAGGTATAAGAAGGTCGCCAGCTTTCACATTTCTTGTAAATTTCTATTCCTTCAAGCCAAGGAGAAATTATGTTTGCATCATTTGAAGATCGGAAAGGTTTTTTTGCCTCATCTATTCAAAGGAACAATAAATTTACTAGATTTAAATTTCTAATACTAAATTTCTGAAAATGTAGAGACGGTATTGAAAATTTCAAAACAAAATCATGAGAGAGATGTTATCTTCCTAATCTTCATTCTTTGCTTCCGTGTGTACGTGGAAAAGGCTGTAGGCTGTGAAAAAGTCAAGTTTTTTATGCAATGAAATATAGGGCAATATTTCATTGCATATATGAATCAACCTATCAGAATTCAAAGAATTGATATTTATCCAAGGGATAAACAATACTGCCCAAAATGTGTAATATTTAATTATCATGTAATTATGATAAGTATTAAAGTTTTAAAAGTGAGATATAAAAGGCATATTTTGAATACCCAATACTAGTACTTGAGCATAAAATTTGAGGGTGTACACCTATTCAAAGAGTTGTTACCCCCTCGCATTTTCCTAATTATTGGTTGTCTATGAATGTCTGTCGTATGATATTTAAAAAAATTCTGTGCATTCGCGATAGAAAATAAGCGGACACCGCCTATCGGAGTTCTTGAAAGATGTCAAAGCGGCCTGTTTACTTCGTTTTCATTGGTTCACATATTTGTTTTTTGTTTGTTCTTATTGGTCACATCATTAAAACAAACCGCTCAGAAGTGTTCAAGCTGCAGTCGTGAGGTGGAGCGACGTGTTATTTTCTATCGCGAATTGCCGATTATTTGTAGACATGTCAACGCTGCTTTCAAGTTTATCAATCAAGCATCCATCCCGTCGTAGATTGAGGTATTGTTTTATCCCGTCCTGTATGATCATATTATTCCTATGCTCTGCCATTGGACAGGGACCTCGTGACCAGACACGTGACTAATGATGGTCGGGCAATGTCCCTTGCCCTTCCCTTCCTGTCAGTGGCGTTCCTTGCGTATCCAGCATTCAGGGCATTCTTTCTAAATATTAAATTGTTTATGAAAAACTCAACTGGATGCCTAGGTACATTAGATATTAAGTGGTCGGGGGATAATGGGCTAACTCTAAATACTAAAAAAGTAGCTTCCTAATAATTGGTACTAATTCAGTTAAAGCCAAAGTCGCTCTCAAAAAATGTGTATTTGGACTGTCCTCCAATATTTATTTCACGAAGCCACTGGTAATAAAATATCGCCGTCTCATTACGGAATCCCCATTTCCCTGTATCGGTGAAGCAAATGAAAAACATGCCAGCTGGAAAAGAACCTACCTGGTACTCCCTAGTAGGTAAACAAAAATGCTACCCTGATCTCACCATGTTGCCATGCTGGTACCTATGTCTTCTTAAGCGCAGTAGCTTCAAAACAAATTATGGTTGTTTACGAATTCCGGGCTATTATCCCAAGATAAAACTGGTGTGACCTATGAATTGGGGTCAGGTGTAACGGAAACACGCGGTATAGCATCACTATTTCAGATTTAATTGGCATTATGATCTCTGAAAGTTATCAAAGGATTGTATTACCATGCCAGAGGCGTACTAAAAAACATCCTAAAGTAGTATGGTCAAATTATGTATTTCCGTCTGCCTATTTGGAAAATTCATCGTAAATAATGTTTTTCCACTACTAACCTGAGAAATCGCCATCATTCGAGGATTTCCTCTGTTGAGAAGTAAGACTTTTCGAACCTAGTTAAATAATAATAAATTGATAAAGAAATGTTACCTACCTAGGTAGATACAGCTGTAAATAGTGTCAATATACACACATATGTACCGATGCGTTTGCAACAAATGAAAAATGAAACATTTTTTGAACCAAACATAGTTAAAACTACAACATTTATCACACATGAAAGCAATTTTTTAAATTATGAAAAATGTTTGTAATAATGAGATTATTAATTCCTAAAAATGTCACAAAAATCATATGTCAGCTGTCGTTGTCATGTGTGAATTAGACTCTGACTAATTAGAGCAATTTAAATAACCATGACTTTCGGTACGGACAGAGTTGTTGACCAATCTCAAGGATTTCAGCTATTCGCGATAGAAAATATGCGTACGCCACCTATCGGAGTACATGACAGCTGTCAAAGCGGCCTGTTCACTTTATTTTTATTGGTTCACATTTGTCTTTTGTTTGTGCTTATTGGTCATATCATCAGAACAAACCGCTCAGAAGTGTGTTCAAGTTGTTGCCGTCAGATGGGGTGACGCGAATCACAATAAATACGATCTGATTCGATCATGTAGATCAGGCTCGATGATTGTTCAATGGTAGCATCTGCCATATTCATATGTTTTGAATATTTCGAAAAATTTTAATGAATACTGAATTTTCAATAACTACTTGCAATATATTTCATCCAGACGCGGGGAGTGGGGGGGGTTACAAACTTCTATATCAAAATCACTGTCACTTAAATTCTTACGAGTATTTATTCACAATTTCATCTGGAATTTTAATAGGTAGTCTATGACAATACAGACGGTGAATGGCATGGCACCTTCAATGGAATTGAAAATCTGAATTAATGAAAGATGTTCATATTTCAGTATTAGTAGTGGAAAAAATATTGTATACAGGGTGACATAGAAAAAAGTACATTGCAAAGTGCCACGATAGAAGACACTAAAATAAGAAAAATAGTTCCCATGAACAGGGGTGCGCAACACCTTCGGATAAAAGATACGGGGTGTTGAATTTTAATGTTTTGTTGTTGTTTTCTCAATATCTCTAGCCAGAGACGCAAGAAATTGATAAAATGTGGTATACAAGGGTTTTTTAATGTAATTGTTGAAGTAGTTATCATTGTTTTTGCAAATAAATAAAACCTACTTATCTATTTTATTTTTCAATATTTTGACTTCTATAGGCAATTTTTTCAAAGTTATGAGGAATTCTAATTTTCAATTTAAAGGCATTTGACTTCGAATAATGTAAAAAATATCGCCTGCCGCGCTTTTTCCATTTGTTATTTTACTCAATACTGAATGTACTATTTTTTCATTTTCGAAATCTGTTCACTCTAGCCATGTTATAGGTGCCAGAAGGGTGAAAACCCGATACATATGTACACCTGCCTTTGTCTCTTGCCTCTTTTTTTATCCATCTCCATTCTCTATTTCTTCATTTGTTTCACGTTCTGCCTCCCTTAGGGCAATGCACTCTGCAGACGAGTTTTAATCGATTTGACGGGATTTCCATCTATCGAGATATCAAAGATATATGACAACATCGCCTAAAAGGGTCCAGACGTTACCACGGTGGTAACGGTCCAGATCCAAAGTAGCACTTATTAGTTGAACAAAAGAGACCTTTTCGCTTTTCCAATGAATTTAACAGAAAAGGGAACTATCTGAAGGGATGAGAATTAGATTGTTTCGTCATTTATTTCTCATATCCTTGTTTCTCTTTGTCTTCATTAGTTGAATTTAATGATTGTTTTTCTGCTAGGCAACACTTTTAGTTTTTGAATAATCACGGCCAGTAATGCTTTTTTGTCTCACACAACGATATTGTATACCTTCATTTGATTACCGAACCAAACACAGTGGAATATGGGGATAAATAAATAATCGCTATTATTATTGTTGATATGCTCACTTACCTAAAATTTTCCACTTCTTTTTCCTATACCTGGCCTTGGCGCGGTATTTGCTATTAGGGCAGACACCTGGTCCAAATGAATTAATCGATTCAATAGAATAAACAAATGGGTCACTCTGTGACTATATTTATATTGAAACTACAATTCGAAAATCCTTGAAAATTGAATAAACCTGATCTGTAAATGCAGGTAGAATATTCTCACCACACTGATTATTTGTTGCATTGCATACATATGGCACGGCATCCACGTTTCGGGTATAGTAATGAATTCGTGCCTGTAGTATCTGCATGTCAACAAAAATTGTAACCAAGTTAAGTCATCGTCCACCAATATTCTAATGTGAAGTAGTCTGAGGTCTTGCTTCTATCTACTTACCTATATTATTATAATAAATGTATTATGATAATCTGTCAAGTAAGTCACATTGGTGGTTACTTCACATATTTATTCCAGTTGATTCTTTCGGTTGCAGAAAAAATAGCATGTTTCATTCGGATCAAAAGTGACTTTGTTTGACTCGCAAATTTTGTTTCTGCTCGGCTTCGATAGACGCTCCGCCTCGCAAATGCAAATTCGCTTATCAAACAAAGTGTCACTTTTGATCCTAATAAAACAATCTACTATTTTTCATTCCCTTGTAAGTATGCATTTTTGTCCCTTTTCCTGCTAACCTGTAACCAGAGTAATGAAAGTTGTAGAGATTATGTTGAATACTATAAAATGGAAAGGAAATTATTTTCTTTAATATCCTCATTCATCATTTTTGTTTCAGGTCACGGAAAAACTCATAGAGATGCCGCTAGTGTCCAGGCTATCCATCCTATACCAGCATCTTGTGGTCTCTACTACTTTGAGGTTAAAATCGTCAGCAAAGGAAGAGATGGATACATGGGTATCGGTTTATCAGCACAAGGCGTTAATATGAACAGACTTCCAGGTAATTTTTTGGGACACATTGTATATAGATACAAAAATACGATGATCTAAATATCAGCTATGAACGTGATAAGAAAAGAGAAAAAAAAAATAGGTTAATATAAATGAGGAAAAGAATTAGACCCAGAACAGTTTTTTGAAACAACACAAATAAGATGTGTTCTTTGGCTGAAAGTATCTCGTAATTTTGCAAATTGTTCTCTTCCCGCCAGAAAGTATTAAATCAGTTACAAAACCTAACGTTAAAACTCGAATGGAATGAAATTTGAGATAGGTATCTGTCAATCTGTCATTGTCAATCATTGGCTTGTATAAGTGCACCAATCAGCGAGGGTCTTGAGAATGGCATGTCGTCAAATATGTGTCATAGATTGATTCATATGGGACGAACCATCCTGTTGAGTTGACAATCCTAGCTTAAAAGTGTTGAGAAGTGTTGCAAAAATTAATTTAGTTCCCTAACGACATAGTGGAGTAATTTAATGTCAATAATTCATTATCAGTTCACTCGCCCATTGATGTTTTTCAAGTTGGATATCCAGTACATTAATATGATCTCTCTAGGTACTGTGCATACTCATGTTTGTTAAGATGTATATCTAGTACAATGATATGATCTCTCTAGGTATAGTTTATGCAAAGTCAGTTAGAAAAACACATCACCGAAAGCCGTCGGTCCCTTTGAAAGTTCAAAGAGTGCGGCAGCGCGGCCCGACATTCGTTTGATGATCTGTTCAACTGACTTTGCATAAACTCTACCGTGCATATTATTCTGATGTCTTTCAAGATCGATATCTAGTACAATGATATGATCTCTCTAGGTACCGTGCATACTCCAACAATAAGTCCTGATCTCTTTCAGGATGGGACAAGCAGTCTTACGGCTACCACGGTGACGACGGGCATTCTTTCTGTTCTTCCGGTACGGGACAACCGTACGGCCCCACATTCACTACCGGAGACGTGATCGGTTGCGGCGTGAATCTGATAGACAACACTTGTTTCTACACCAAGAACGGTCATCATCTCGGCACTGCCTTCAGAGATATACCTGTAAGTAGTGATAAGAATAGGTTAGTATTTGATTCTCTCAAGTACTCGGTTGTATTGTACAGAAGAATTCGAATACGTACTCGTCAGTAGCAACCGAGAATGGCATTCGTTACCACTATCGTCTTTTACAAAGTAATCTTATATCGGTGAACAAAAGTCAATATTAATTGAAATCAGCAAAAATTATAAGAGGTGAAAACAAATTGAATAATAAGTTTCAGAAACGATGAGTTTTTTGAGTTCCTATTTGAATTTGATCATATTCCAGCAAGAGGATCATGAGTTTCATAGTTCCTTGTATCATAAAAACGATTAATTTGGATGCCATTAGAGCCTTTATCTTTCTGTTTTCAGAACCTCATTGGTCAGAATAATAGCATTTGAAGTGCTTATTGGTTGAATAGATCATGTGTTGATTTGAAAAAAAATATTACGGACAATATTCATCAAATAACAAGACTCTCAATGTATCACGTGATTGGATACGTCGAAAGATTTAAAATTTTGTTCCTGATGTTTCATAAGGTTGGCAACGCTAATGGGTATTACACAAAATCACTAGACCTAAACCTAACTTCAACTGTTTTATATGAAGAAAACTGATCATTCTACATATTAGGCATCTTGATGGACATTTTCCTTGTTTTGAATTGATAAGGAATATCGTTTATAGCCGAATCTTTATCCCACGGTCGGATTACAAACTCCAGGGGAAGTGGTAGATGCGAATTTCGGCCAGGAACCGTTTGTGTTTGACATCGAAGACATGTTGAAGGAATTGAGATCGAGAACCAGAATGGAGATATACGATTTTCCTGTGCCAGAGAGTCAAGGAGAATGGCAAGCTATATTAAACAAGTGAGATTTCTATGAATATGACATGAAAGTGATATTGTTTCATGGTTATTGATGACTACTACAGTATTTGTTATTTATTCATATGCCTCCACAAAATAATATCAAGAAATCCATATATTTTAGATAATATTTGTGGGAAGTTACTGATTTGTCTTAATTAATAGTTATAATATGTGATTTATTATTGTCAGGTCAAACTTTTTTTTTTCTAGTTGCTAAGAAGATCACCTATCAAAAATATCAACTTTTCGTTAACACTTTTTCTTGCAATCCCTTCATAATTTACTTGTCAAAATTGAAGATTTAAATTTTCTGTCAATCATAAAATTCACATTATTTATTTATTCATTATAATTAATAATATTATTGAAAATGTGACTACCAGTCAGAAACATGTTCTGGTATAAGGAAATAGCTAATAATAACTCAATAATTATTACAAATTCATTAATAATATAATATTTGAACTCATTAAATATCAAATGTATACAAATAATTGTTTATTGGTGAACTAAAATCAATTTTAATAGGTATACAAGTTGGCGAAGAAATTATGAATCAATCATCTATTTTCCGTTCAGAAATGATTAGGTTTCACAAGTTCATATTTGGATTTGAATAAATTCTTGCTTGACTTTTTTCGTCCTATTGAATAGTTAGCAACATCAAGATGAAATAAATCATTTTGTCTAGTTTGATGATCATGAATTTCATAATCTCTTAATAAAATGAGATTTGATTTCAATATTTTATTTATGATATTGTGTGGAATTTTCATACTTTCAATTGTAAACATTTCATTGCCTGTGTGATGTAAAACAAAGTACTATTATGTATATTATTGTTCTAGTATGGTATCTACATATTTAGTCCACCATGGTTACTGTAATACTGCTGAGGCCTTCGCCCATATAACCGAACAACCGTTCAATGAAGATATAGCATCGATAAAAAATCGCCAAAGTAAGTTGGCCATGCTTGTAACTTTTTCATCACCAGCGAACAAATTTTCTAAAACTGATCTCGTGAGGTTCTATGTATTTTTCTTCTTTTTCAGAAATTCTCAAATTAGTTTTGGCCGGCCGGATGGGAGAGGCCATAGAAAAAACTACTCGCTTGTACCCCGGCCTGCTCGAGAACAACCCGAATCTTTTATTCACGCTCAAGTGCCGTCAGTTCGTCGAAATGGTAAGATTTCGTCTATAACAAATTTTGGATAATATTATAGAGGGCGTTATTTTCGTATGTGGCCAAAACTTCAATCGGCTCTATTCCGTTTGAATCTTCTTCTAACATTGACCTCGCAAACGTTGTTTCGCTATATACATTATCTCTATAATATATTTTTTCAGTTCAATATTCTATTATCATTTTATTTTCTACTTCTTTTTAGTTTCGCTATCTATAAAAGCGTGTTTCTTCAGTTTTTCAAACTACCATTTATTTCAACTTCTTTTTAGTTCACTTGAATTTTCCAATTTTGACGAAAGAATCATTATATCCGACTCCTAAAACCCCAGATAAAAATTTTGAATAGAATCGGAACTTAATTACAAAACTCGTCAGCAAAATTGGATCTGCCATCTTGAATTCCCTAATTTTGACGAAGGAATCATAATCTCCGACCCCGAAAACACCCAGATAATAATTTTGAAGAGAGTCGGATCATAATTAAAATACTCGTCCGCCATCTTGAATTTCCTAATTTTGACGAAAGAATCATAATCTCCAACCCCGAGAACCATCAGATACCAAATTTGAATAAAATCGGATCCCAATTACAAAATCCGCCACTTTGGATCCGCCATCTTGAATTTCTTCATTTTGACGAAGAAATCATAATCCCTGATCACGAAACCTCCTAGGTATCAATTTTGAAAAGAATCGTATTATAATGACAACACTCGTCCGCCATATTGGTTCCGCCATCTTGAATTTCCGAATTCCGCCCGAATTTTCAAATTCTGACGGAAGAATCAAAATCTCCGGCCCCGATTACCCCCAGATACCAATTTCGAATAGAATCTGAACATAATTACAAAACTCGTCCGATATATTAGATCCGCCATCTTTAATTTCCTAATTGTACCGGGATAAAAAGTATCCGATAACCTTCTCCTGGTTCTAAGCTACCTCCCCACCAATTTTCAGCCAAATCGATCCAGTAGTTTCGGAACCTATTCAAAACATACAAACAAACAAACCTTTCCTCTTCATCATATTAGTATAGATTATACAGATCTTGCCAAGGCTTTTGAAATGCACTGCGTCCACTAGGACATAAAGTTTTTCCGATTCTGCCTAGGCACAGTGAAATATTTTGTTATTATATATTAACAATGCTAATTATAGGTGACAATAATCAAATGCCGATTTATTACATTGATGTCTTCAGCAACCATTTTACATTAGTGCAAATATGATTCAATATATAGAATGAACCCCTGGTTCTTTCCCCAGAAGGTGGTAACACTGGGGATATGTTAAAATATGTCTAATATTGCCAACCATAAATAGTTTTTGATAAAACATGGAATATTTCCATTGCTTACAAGTACTGATTCCTCCGGTCCACTGTAGTAGGAATTTTTATTTTTTTTGTTAAATGTCTAATTCGGTATTTTTATTTTTTGAATTCATGGTAGGTGAACGGTTCCGACATAGACGTATCTCGAAAAAAATCCGCGGGAAGTGGCAACAGCGTATCGCCCAGGCCCGGTAGCCCCGTACAGACCTCTGTCATACAGAGCACCAAGAATTTGACGGGCAAATCGGTGGAAGAGATGAATCGCAGCAACGCGTCCAGGAACGGGAACAAGTGCGAGGGCGAGCTGATCAGCACCGAAGATTGCGACGTTGAAATGGATACATCTGAAGAGGTATTTTCTTAAATCATTTATTCATTAATGGCCGTGTATATATATATATTGATACATTTTGTTGTTGTTGTTGTTGTTGTTCTTTATTACCCCAAGAAACATATTTGTTTATAATAGGGATACATAAACATGATATATATATATATATATAAAACAATAAAAAAAAAAAAAAACTAATTAACAAGTTATGTCAATATAACATAATAATTAAAATAAAACCATTCCAAGTATTCAAATGAGAATAAATTGCTCCGTTTATTGTGTCATGAGTATATATTTTTTCATATTGACTTTGAATCTTGTTTCATCATCAATATGTTTCAAATCATAAGGTAATGAATTATATAAAATGATTCCGTTGTAGAATACTGATTGTTTGCCAATGATGGAGTTATATGGGTTTGCTATTAATGAATTCAACTGTCTCGTTGCATGAGTATGAATTGTATTTACTTCAGTAAAGTTCAAGTTGGATATTTTTATTTTTTTTCTCACAAAATGGATAAAAGAACAAATTTTCATTTTATATAAAGATGATAAATTCAACAGATTTTTTGGTTTGTAAAGATTAATAGTTGGTTCCAGGTAATGTAAATTGTAAATGCACTTAATTGTTTTATTTTGTAATTTCATTAATGGTTTCAAATGTGATATACTTGTGCTTCCCCAAATTGATATTAAATATTGTAATTTTGAGTAAATCAGACAGAAATATATATTCTTCAAATATCTAAGAGGAATGAAATTTCGAATTTTGTATAAAATGCCAGTAATTGGATTGAGCTTTTTTCTCAGGTGATCTATATGTTTAGTCCACGATAATTGTTCATCAATATAAAGACCTAAGAATTTTGTAATATCTAAATATTTTATGGCTTTCTGGTTGAAAAATATTGTTGTTTTCGACATATCAGTTTTTCTTTTTGAAATATACATATACGTAGATTTGTCATAGTTAAGGGTCAGCTTATGAATTTGTAGCCAAGATGATATCATTTTCAAGTCACTTTTTATATCATCAACTATATCGTTAAATTCTTTAGAGGAATAGATTATTGTAGTATCATCTGCAAATAACTTCAGATCTCCTTTTAGTTTCAAAGATGATATTGAATTGATGTAAATTAAGAATAAAATTGGACCTAAAACGGAACCTTGTGGTACACCACATTTGATTTCTCTTACGGAGCTGCAAATATTATTGACTTCAACATACTGCTTTCTATTTTCCAGATAATTTTTTAACCAATCAAATATTTTTCCTCTTATACCTATTGAATATATTTTACTCAGTAAAATTTCATGATATATCATTAACTATCAAACTCAACTGTGTGCCCCGATGTTTAGACAAATATTCTATCCGTCGTCGTCGTCGTCGCTCCGATGGATACCTCTATGCCGGGGCGCCTCAATGAATAGACACGGCCTTCATTTATTTATTGCATCAGGTGGAATATATCACAGAGTATTAGGTCTATTTTACACCCTGTGTATGTTTCAATGTACTGATTATCTCGAATGGGGAAGTTTCCTAAATTTAATTTCTTATTTCTCCGTGAGTTCATGAAGAATCATAATACATGCATGGTGGAAATATAACATGGTGTGCTACTTCACGTATCTTGAATTCACGGCGAATTGATAACTGCGAGCGCAGACTGAGAGCAATTGTTTCAATCGCAGTGACGTATACGAAGATGCGTCGTAGCACGCCATATTATAATTCCACCATCTATACACGTATTTTTTATATCTTCAATAAGCGAGAATTCACTTTAGAAAAAAATTCAAAGAAGTGGTTTTGGCTCCCTCACCATTCTGCTGACATCATTGGTGAACTGTTCACTCAGAGCTAATATGCGATTTTGCTAGCGCGACTGTAACGCTGCCGTTTCCATTTATACCCTTTGGTATTCAGACATTTTGTGTATCATGTATTGAGACATTATTTCAATATTAGCTACTCTATATGAAATGATATTTTCAATTTGATTTCCTGATTAGTCGAAAAGTATAAATCGAAATAAAATTCTAACACTAAGGGATCCTGGCTGTATTTCCCAGTTTTACACCAAACCATACTGATTGATGCGAATTTATTGTTTTGTTTTCATTGTTTATTCGCGGTCGCCGAGGTCATTAAATGAAATTAAAAACTACGGGAAAATATAAAAAAATGAATATCAATGTATTCCTTACCTATATTTTTCCACGAAATGAGCAACTATGATAGTCATGTCAAACGATTATCTGATAGAAAAATTAGCAGCTAAATTATCCAGTTTAGTGACTTGAAACGGGAAATTATCTTACAGCTCTTTTGAAAATGTCACTGGACTTCAGTGGGCACTTCAGAAGACTGGTTTCACTTATACCACCACCCGGTTAGATATTAGAGATAACTATAAATTCAACTAGTTACAAATATCAGATATGGGTCCACATAATATTATTACTTCAGCATTTTGGTCAACAAAATTTCAAATTTAATACCGATTTATTTTCATAAAATGTGTGGCTATGATAGCCAAACTTTCTGACAATCATCCGATCGGGCTGTAACGAAAAAACCAAATTGATTTACAAATCTGTATCCGGTTTAGTAAACGTGTGAAACTATCAGCACATCAGGAGAATTCAGAAGTTGATTTCGCTGACTTTATATACATGGTGATATGAAAGTGAAAAATCAGATTGGCTGGTTCCAAACATGCAAAGCCGCACATTCAGTCTGCAAGTTGATTTAAAATATTTTCATTTTTATACCAATAGTTTTTCACAATATCAGCGGTTACGACAGTCATCATTTATTTAACAATCATACGATCGAGAGAAAATAGTTGGCTGTTTAGCATGAACTAAAGATTTGTGTATCCCATTTACCATAATATATTCCGGGAAATATGGTCAAAATCACAGAAGACATTTCAAATTGAATTCTTCAGTAGCTAAAAAATGTATCACGCAATATCTTCAAACATTGTCTGTTGAAAATATCTTGTAGAAATCCGATATTTGTTTGGCCAGGTACAAAATGGCCATGGCGACACCTGCGTAAACGGCAAAGCCGTCTCAAATAATAGATACCAGAATGGAAGTAGTAATTTACACGACGACAGTAGCTCCACCAATATGAGAAATGATGATCTAACAACCTGCTGTGATATTGACGATGAAGATATGGGTGAGTATTGGGTAATACTTAATTCGCATTATGTATAACTATTATCATGTTTTTTTATTGAAATTCATCGGTTGTTTTTTTTTTTTCAGAAATAGATGTGCCCTGCCGAAAAACCTGTCAAAAACAATCCGTAGAAAGGATACTAGATTTTGGCAAGGAATTGTATAGCATGAGCCAAAGGCTCAGAAGGGACAAAATTTCTAGTAATATTAACGAAAAAATGCTCGAGGTAAGTCAATATCCTATAAAATGAAGAATGATGATGGTAATAACAATGATATGAAGGTATACTATCATCATCATTACTGGATATTTTCAATGTACTATTATTTTCTTCGGAAAATTTCGATTTTCCCGATAAACGGTCTTTATCTATTGCTCCACACTGTCGAGAATGAATCTAGCGTTAATCTATGAATCAAGTAAGAACAAAATCTCGTTCATATGGGCTATAAGTTGAAAAAACAAACGCGGAATCATCTCCTTAAATAAGTGCATTACATTTAAGGAAAAAAAACAAGATTTAATTTTTTTCTCAGTGTCATCATTACTTATGTATTTTTTCAGGATGCATTTAGTTTATTAGCATATTCTAACCCTTGGGCTAGTCCGGTAGGTTGGCAGTTAGAATCTACACAAAGAGAGTCGGTTTGTGCATCATTGAATTCAGCAATTTTAGGTGAGTAATGATATTGATATAATCTTCGTTGTTCGGAGGATATAATAAAGAGTGTCCCATCCCGTAGATAGTCAATAGTCTGAATTATTATAAATAACAACCAAAAAAATCTATACTCTCTTTAAACACTTGTATCTATCTTCTATCAAAAAGATGATATTGACGTGAATCAAAAACCATTGTATTGAGAAGGGATAAAACTGCAATAAAAAATCATGAAGCTGAGTTTAAACATTCACTTTTGCCACAGTGCGTTAAGAAGTTTAAGGTGAAAGGGATTTCGTGAAAATTACACAAAAATCGGACAAGAATTAAAGAAGTAACATGGTGATCAATTTGGCAGAATTTTATTCTGGGCAGTTTTTTCACTAGCGAATGTATTTGAATCACCGAAAAACAATCATATTTTCGATGCAGGAACGTATCTCTAACACACACAGATACCCTATGATTTTTGGTCAACTAAATGGGCCTTTCCAGTCATTTCTGGAAAAAATATATCTCGGAATATATGGCTGATTTTTTGAGATTTTTTCCATCGAGTCATCGCATTAAACATATTGGAAACGCCAAAATGAATAAGTGAGTTCAAATAATCAGAAATGGAAGCGTGTGACGTCATTGCGCGAGCAATTTGGATTGGTAACGCCCTCACCTTCTCGCGGGGCTAATGAAATGCACAATAGACTTGACAATGATGCCAATTTGGATAGAAAGCTATGATTAGTCGGATATTCAGTTCTCGATTTTTTTCATTACAGCAAATGATACAGATGCCGTTAGATAACTCAATATACTACCTACCTGAATATTCGTGGTACTGAAAAATTGCATTGCTCAATTAGTTTGATGGTTGATTCCTGTTGGTGTATTATTCAAAATTGTATTGCTTGGTATTACTATCAGCAATAACCTTTCTTGGGAAAATTACGTGAGTTCAATTGCTAAAAGTGCATCCCAAAAACTTGGTTTCCTGTTTCGGGCCAGGAGCTATTTCACTTCCAGTCAGCTGCTTATGATATATAAGGCACAGATCCGGCCTGTCCTGGAATACTATTCCCATATTTGTAGTGCAGCACCCAAACATACCCTGAAACTGTTGGATTCTGTCTCTGCTCTTCTGAAATATCAACAATTGTTCCTGTTTCCCGTGTATAATGTACTATTTTTTTCTGTGACAGAAGAAAGGACGTATCAATATTGAGAAGATATTACATTATTTTGAAACCTGAAGATTATCGACGTGAAATGTTTTTAACAGTAGGGACGGGACACCTGCGTTGTAGGCATCTGTATCATTCTTTTGACTTCTGTCAGTCTAAGTCTGATTTGATTTCAAAAAATTGCGAATTTAGTGGTTGTTTAGTAATATACGTAACCGCGAAGTCGAACGGAAGAAAAAAGGACTTGCAGTTCTTTCTCGGAGACGGTATTATTGACTCATTTTTCGGAACTATTGCACAATAAAAGCCGGGAAAAAAGTAATTTATGAAAAGTGACATTTTATAACCTACCAAAAGAGATGAAATGCCAAACTTTTTTCCCGTCACAGAAAAAAAAAGTATTATTGTTATTCTCATTCCATGTTTTCACAGATTCGAATAACAAGCCGCGCAAACCGCCCCTGGAAGTGGCGATGGCCCATGCCGAGGAGCTCGTCCGCCTCATGTCGAACGCCGGCCTCGGTTCGTGCGCGTTCGCCTCCCTCGTCGACCTGCTCGACCAGTGACCCTTCCTGCTCTCGCGTCCTCTCCTACTCACCCCCTCCACTTCCCGCTCGCGTCGATGAGGACCGCCCACATTGCGCGCGCACGCTGATCGGTGATCACGAAAGGTTCGCGGGCTACGAACGTCTCGGACAGTGTTGCCAATTAGCAGAAAATTTCCCGCATTTCGGGATTTTTGGTGGGAGAAATCATTTTCCGGGTAATATGCGGGAAATCGTGTATGTCCATGAGAATCCAGAATGGAATTTTTGCAAATGCGCAAAACTGTATTGTGGTTTTATCGTCTCTCACATTGGGTGATAAACCGCCATTGCTTCAAAAATCCGAATTCTGTCTTGTGTCACGCGCCAATTCATGAACATTTGTAACATGAAATCGTAGATTCACATATTATGAAACAAAACATTTTACGCTCTGAACAGTGGGTAGTGACACTGACCACAGACGTGAATGTTTGTGTACTGTGTTTTGTGTTTGTGAATTTTTATGGCTGTTTCAAGTCATCCGTCTAACCACAGTGGTGATACCTGAATGGTCAATGTCTGACTTGACTCCCATACAAAAGTTGATGTGGTAACTGTGTGGGCAGGTATGAAACGTGACCGATATTCCCAAACAGCTGGTTGGTCAGCCTGATGGTCAGACTTCATATTGAACATATGTGTAAACCACAGACTGGACACAGCCTATATCTACGAATGTTTCTTTAGCAAAAATATGTTGAAAAGATTGATTTTAGCCGTCACCATTATTAAAATTAGGATAACTCCTCTTCATTTATATAGATAATGCGTATCATTATTTTTCCAAACAAATTTTGTGATAGATCATTTGATAAATTTGAATGTGCGGGAAATGGCGGGAAATTTTTTCACAGTTTCCATGTTGGCAACACTGGTCTCAGAATCGGAATGCCATGGGTGTCGGCCATATATTTACTAATTCTATATATGGCGCATCGCCTATACGATATCTCAACAAAAATGGGACCAAAATAAGAGGTACTTTTTGAATCTATAAGGACGGAAAATGGAGGATGGAAACAGCCATATTGGTTAAACAAGTTTCGTACTATTTGTTCTCTACTTCGGCATCAACGCCTATTGGTCGATTTCGTTACCTATTCGCGAGATTCACGAAGTGGGCGACATCTAGGTTACATAATACGAACTTCAAACTGGAGGAAAACAAACTATTGTCGATGGATAAAGTGCATAGAGTACATTGCATACATCTTGCTGTAGCTGTTGTTGTCAAACTTGTTAATGACATAAAGTGTTAGAACTCTTATCAGTACACAGTACACAAGCTAATGACACTAATGGGATTGAGTGAGGATTGAGTTTGTTTTCCCCCAGTTTTGACGTGGCTTTGACATGGAACAATGAAAAGCGAGCGCCACCTGGTAGCATTGATTCCCGCGAATAGAGACAGAAGTTGGTCCCTCTTTCAGGACAGCTATGATTTATATATAAGTAGTGAATATATGGTGTCGGCCCAAACTATTTCTTCTGGCGTGGAAAATCGATCTTTGAAAGATCAATTTGGAAATCGGCATCCTTACTTCCGATGATTCTGCGGTGAATTCGAACGCGAAAGACAGGTACTTACTCCTTTTTTTTTCTTTGTTGAAAATTTTGTGACCTGCGAGAGTTTATTGGTATTAACGGTGGCAAGAAAATGATTGGGTTCACATAGCCCTGACAGGAAAAAATAGACATGCTGTACAGAATAGGCCATGCGATGATGACATCAAAATTTCTTCATATAAAGTCCACTTTCCATCACTACTGATCTATGAAATTTTCTCATTGAATATACATATTCTGATCTGCAACCATGAATTTTATCGAAAAAAAATCGAAAATATCAATTGCAACTAATGATTTTGATCTATTCAATGTAATTCATGAATTCCCCCCCAAAAAACTTCTTGAAATCTATAGAAATGGGAGCAGAAATTTTAACAAAATCGGGTAATCACAACACTTGCAATTTCAAATTGTGATGACCACAACGAAATTACAAACTGGAACTGATCTAAAACATCACAACTATTGATTTTGATTATACATTCATAGGAATGCATTGATTACTTCTATTTTCTTGCCATTGTGCGTATCTCTTAGAGTAGAGCTAGTATTTGAGTGTTGTCATTTTGTTCAGATTATTATAGATATGGTAAGGTTGGCAATCATGGCCTTGGAAAGTGGTACCCATTGTTGGAGAAAAACTGTATTTTTACGTTTTCGATTATTTTGGGGGTCGGTAGTATCATTGGACAAGGCCAAACTATATTTGGATTCTATTTTCATCAGAATTTTGTAAGCTTCAGTCCTGTATCGAATAAAGATCATTTTCCTTGTGCTCAAGGTATTTTTTTTTATATTTTGTGAGGTTTTTATGAATTGTTATAACGAGGTAAAAGATAGTATATTTTTCTAGAATTTTTGAAATTTGAATATTAGTTTTTAGACTTTTTTTAATGAAAATTGAGGTTCTGATAGAACGTTTCTCGTTTCTGTTATTGATATTCGATAATACAACAAGAAAAATAAATTAACAGGTCGGTTTTTTTTTTGTTTCTAACTGTTTTTAATATTAGTTGAATTACAAAATATCACAATGATAGTATTTTTAGGCACCTTGTAGCACTGTAATGAAATTTGATATGGTTCTTTAAAATTCAAACATATTCCAAATTATATTGCTTTTGGAAATAACATCTTGAATGTGGTTTTGTGAAGAATGTGTAATAATAATAGTGGACCTGCACTTTAAAGTTAAAACAGATTATATAGTGGCTTAAAATTGTCGATTGTCGTAGGGATAGGAAGACTTTAACTATGCGAAAAAAATTGTGACATGTTGGAAAGGAGGGTAGGTATGTTTTGAAGAAGAAAGGGTCATTTTATTTTTGTATAGGAGTGAATTTTGAAATTGCCGTTCATAATTTGAGTGAGCCAATCAAAAAGAATGGGAAATATTACTCTTTAATTTTTTTATACCCAATGTGGTTGTAAGTACATTTTAAGAATGCCCAATGATTGAACATTGTGATAATTCTTATGAGGGAGTGGAGTCACATGTTTATTTTGTGTTAATTTAAATTTATGAAGTTAATTAATTTGTTGGACTTGCATGAATTTATAAATTACAAACATATCCGACTTAGTTTATGTACAATTTCGTTTTTAATTTGGGCCTTTCATAACAACTTTTATCAAAAAATAATCATTTGAAGTTGTTTTTATTTGATGTGGACCTACCGATTTCTAGTATAGTCTATTTGTAAATAAGTTATATACATATGTTATGATTTATTCAATAAAATACTAATGATTGTGTCTTTTTTCAACATCTCTGTTATTTATTTGGTACCAAGTAGTGAATATTTTCAACTGATTTTTCATGGTTGTCCTAGTTTTTTTGCACCAATTCAAAAAGCTCTTGAATTAAAAATAAAATAGGTCTTGGGTTCATGAAGGCATATATTTTTATCAAGTTGATATTGAACAATACTATTTTGTAGGCTTATTGAACATTTTCACACCTTTCCTAGCCTTAGCAATTTTTTCTTTCAGAGCAGCTATATTTACACTAACATCATTCTTAGTTTCCTTTGAACTACTGGGTTCTTCAGGGGGTACAAAAGCTTGATTCCTCCTCTCTTCACGCTTTTTAGCAGCTTCAGCATGCTTCTCATCTTGTTCCTTCTGTTTTTTAGCCCTTTTCTGAGTTTTGCTGAGGAAAAATTCTCCAGTTGCCAATTCCTTGTCAATTTTGCTATCTTGTTGAGGTGGTGGAAAGGGTGTATATGGTTTCTTCTCCTTCTTTTTCTTAGGTTGCTTGCGTTTACTAATATTTTTGTTAACAAACTTTGGCAAGAATCTTTCCCAGTTTTCATTCTTCAGCTTAGGGTCTTTGGCCAATTCTCTCTTAATCATAAGTGCTTTGATATTGTATATTGGATGTATATTCTTCATGGTGTCTTCTACTATCTTCCTAACCTGTTGTAGTCCCTTGTAGGGTCCCAATGCTGAAACTGTTTGTCCTTGCACCAAGACATAACAGTTGCTGAGAAGCTCTATGGATTTCAAAGTACAACCATTGGGGCCTATGAGACGTTGTCTTCTCTTAACAAATTTCTCCTTGTTTCTTGTAAGTTTACCTATTTTGATGATATCACAACCTACTTCATCTTCCAATACCCTTTTAGCTTGCTCAAAGGGTACACTTCTAGACATCAACTTAATCATATCTCTTGCTTTCAAAATTATGTATGGATCCCAAGTTTTTCTAGTAGTTCTCACAGTCATACTACCTTCTATAACATCTAGCTCTGCTTTTACAAAATGTTCTCCTAACGTTTTCTGAACCAATGGCCATATTTGTCTCAAGTATTGTTCTCTGTATTGTGGAAATAAGGTAGCAAAACTGCTTTCTTCTAGTAAACCATGTGGGTTGTGTTCTGGTTTGAAATCTGGTATTTTCATTTCCCAGGCGTTCTCAATTGGTCCGGAGATATCCTCAGTTTCTTCATTGTTGATATTTGCCATAGTTATGTTTTCAGTCTGGACAGTTTCACCTGAACCAAAATCGTCAAAAATAAAAACAAAAGAATTCCATCAAAACATTCAAATCATAAATCATCGTTCATAACCTAAAATTTTTTCTTCTTCTGTTACATCTTGTCCCAAAAAGAGCTTTCAGTCTTTATTATACTGAAGCAATGGCCTAAAAGTTCAGTGTTCCAACCTGCCAGAATACTGCAGAGAGACGAATCACTTGCTGGCTGGATGCCCTTGTGACACAAATGATAGAGATAGAAAAATGTAGAATTTTGTTTATTGGACAATGGACATACTTCACGCTTCACCTCTGAAAAAAATTGTGAAATGTCAAGTCTAACCTACAAATGTTTGGATTTTGTTGATTTCTTCAATAATTTACGTGTTTGAGTATGAGAATGTATTCACATCCACTTTTACGAATTCCCCAACTAAGTCCTTAGTAAAAGGCTACTATCTCACCTCAAAGTAATGCCTTGACTGCTGCTACAGAAGAGGCCCCAGAATGGCAAGATCTGACACTTTATGTAACCAGTCCCTACTGGAAGCAGGAGAGCGAGCATTGGATCGTACCATCGGCGAACCCGGAGATGTCAAGACCCAGTTCGCCACCAGAGAAGGTACCTACCGCCTCATGACATTAAGTGAGTATTCTAGACCAAACAGAGTCGGCTACCAACCTCAGGGACAAACGCCTCCACAAGTACGTGTTTCCTTGGTCACCCTTACCGACCAAGGTGAGCGGATTTGCTTCAACCATGGCCGAGAACTCTACGTTTATGTCTATAAAGGTATCAAGAAGGCTGCTGATTTGAGCAAACCATTAGAGAAAAAAGTGTACAAAGGAACTAACCCTACTTGCCATGATTTCAACTCCACTTCTGCCTCAGCTGAATGTGTTAGTTTGCTCATTGGTTTCAGTACTGGCCAAATACAGCTCATAGATCCAGTGAAAAAAGAACTTAGTAAGCTTTTCAATGAAGAAAGATTGATAGATAAGAGTAGAGTGACATGTTTGCGCTGGGTGCCTGGCAGTAAGTCACTATTCCTTGTGGCTCATTCTTCTGGTCATTTCTATGTATATAATGAGGAATTGCCTTGTGGGTCTGCAGCACCCCACTATCAACCATTCAAAGCTGGTGAGGGGTTTTCTGTGAACACTTGCAAAACTAAGTCCACTAGAAATCCTCTGTTCAGATGGCTTCTAGGAAATGGAGCAGCAATAAATGAGTTGGAGTTCAGTCCTAATGGGTCACAACTGGCTGTGGTGTCTCAAGATGGTTTGCTTAAGATTTTTCAATATGACAGTATGGAGCTTCTTGGTCATGCCAGGTCATACTTTGGTGGGTTGTTATGTGTGGCATGGTCAAGAGATGGAAAATTAGTAGCAGTAGGTGGAGAAGATGATTTAGTAACAGTTTATTCCATGGAACAAAAACGGGTAGTTGCTAGAGCACAAGGGCATAGATCCTGGGTATCTTCAGTAGCATTTGACTGGTATTTGGACATAGAGTCTTGTTATAGGTTAGGTTCAGTAGGACATGATACGCAAATTTGCCTTTGGGAGCTTCCTGAGGATAACCTAGTTCCTCCTAAACCACGTGTAAAACGTAAACCTGATCCATTACAACTAGTGGGCACACCAGCTTGTCCACGTTTGGATGAGTGTCCAATTTTGGAACCTTTGGTTTGCAAGAAAGTTGCTCATGAACGATTGACATCACTAGTGTTTAGGGCTGACTGTGTTATCACTGCTTGTCAAGATGGGTATGTTTATACTTGGGCTAGGCCCCCCACCTAGGATTTTTTTAAGGCAAACACTTTTTGTATGATATTTTTTGTACTGCATAGACCTCCCGTTGACCTGTATATATATATATTTGTATTAAATGTGAAGTTCCCAATATGTACCTTTATTTTAAATTATTTTGTTGTACCTATCTATAATATAGTAAAATAAATCATTTATATTTAGTATTTCTATCATTTATTCCCTTGAATATTCCCCATGGGTACTGGGTATGTATCAAGGATTTTTTTTTTCTCAGTATGATAGGAAAGTTGAAGAAAGAGAAAGCAAAGATAAATAATATTTTATTTCATCAGTATAAACTTATCATTCTTTCATGGATTTCAGAGGCTGAATATGAACCATTAAAGAACTGAAGTGTTAAAAAAACAGATAAATTGTTCCATTAAATCTAAAATGAAATTAAGCTCTCCCAAGTCCATATATTTATGTATACCAATTACTATTTCCAAGCCTGAGCTGGTCCATACAATTTTCAATTTAGTGCTGTTCTCTTCTACTGCTCTATTGAATTTATTACAAAAAATGACAAAAGCCCATTTTCACAAAAGTTGGAACAAACTATCCAATTATAATAGGTGGCGTGCACGATGACCGACCCTGGAGGCAAAATATTGAAACACAACCTCACTCTTCTGTGAATTATTGAAACACAACCTCACTTTTTTATTTGTTTACAGAGAAATCAAAGGATTGAAATAGTTTTTCACAATATTTTGGCATAGGAATCGTGTTTTTAGCGCTATTCATTAATTCAAGCATGCCTTCGCATTGTGCTGTTTTACAATGCACAAAAAATGAAGTGAGAGACGAAGAAATAAGATTCATCAGGTAAATAGTAATCTCACATAGGTCATTATGAAATGTTGTCCTTCCTCCCGATTGATTGCATGAATCCAATCTTCTTGCATTATTTTAGAAATTTCACGTGTATTTCTATAAGCTCCTATTGCAGACGGAATTCCGATAAGATATCAGAGAAATAACCAAATTTCAAAAATGAAAACTATATGTGAGTGACTATAGTAGGTACTTACTTTTAAATCATAATGTACCAACCGGATTCCTTCGTCTTCCGCTGCAGTTTTTGTGCTATAACAGCTCAATGTGATGACATGAGCGAATTCATGAATAGCGGAAAAATACGATTCCTATGCCAAAATAATTGTGAAAAATTATTTCCTTCACTTGTTAACAAATAAGAAAAGTGAGGTTGTGTTTCAATGTTGTGCCTCCAGGGACGGTCATCTGACAGTTCTTGCACGCAACCCATGATCAGATTCTTGATAATCTTGGTTAGGAAATTATCTATGCAAAAATATATAATAAACGTCCGAACATTGAAAACTGAAATAATAATTATTTCTTTAGAAATGATGTGCATCAGCTCTACTCAAATGCAATAAGGCTTCATACAAAGGCTGAGGCTCCTGGAATCTGTCTACCCAAGACTGCACCAAACCTTCAACTGAAGCCTCATAAGTCTTCAACTTAACCTCACTCCCTTCCAGAAAGGTATTAGCTTGCACAAACATCTTCCTAGGTTGTTTGTTAGCCATTACAATAGATCTCCAACTCAACCAAGGTTCATTCACCTGAAATTTTGCACTTAAATAATTGAAACCTCATTAAAAAAATTACACTACCTCAGCATAATGGTTATATAGTTCTCTTGCTTTCTCCACATTGCCAGTGGCCTTGTAGACTTGCAACTGCAGTAGGAAATGACCAATGGCAGCCCTGCCAGCCCCACGAATCGCTGAACGATCAAGAGTTACAAGTAGATCCCCTTCACTAGGCTGGGTCACTGAGGCTACTCCTGCTTGGATCAAGACTCTTGCCAACACAAAACGAGCCTGTGCATGGGCCTGCAGCCAACCTCTGCCTGGCTCCCACAGCTCCAATCCCCTTCCTGCACCAGCCCACACCAAAGACAGCCAATTAACATAGGTAACTTCTTCCGCCTGTTGCCCTTCATGCCCGAAAATCCTCAAGACGTCTGTGTCCAGACTCAAATAGAGTCCGACAGCTTCGGCTCGGCATTCTTCATAAGAAGAACTCAGAGGGCCGAAACGGGTGTCATAGGTGTCTCTGGGTTCGTAATAGGACGCCGGCGGGAGCCCTGTTAGGGGATCCAAGAGCGTCGAAGGGAAGTTGAACGTGCCGTCAAGTTTTTTCTGCAACAGTTTGCCCGAACCATGGCCGAGAAGTTCGTGTAGACCGACCTGGAAGTACAGGGAAGCTTGGAAATTAGTGGTAGTGGTTATTATGATAGTGATGTTGTTTACCTGCAGTTCAAAGGCTGGCACTCTCCATTTTTGCAAGAGATCAGCATCGTCCTTGCTCAGGAATGGAGTAACAGCGAACTGATAGCTGGCAGGAATCACATTTCCAAGTGAAACGTTTTTGAATCCTTCTGTTTGCCGTATATCATCATCTAAGGGTGAGAGAGAAGAAATCAAACCATGGAAATATTGATAATTTGTTGAATAGAGCAGTTCAGCAGTCAGCTAGCATTGAGAGGAAAAATGTCTTCCCCATTTACTATTAACTCGTACGGTGATTATCTTCCCCATCAACCCCATTGGTCCTAGTCATCAGTGTTTCAAGCACTGGAAGCAACACTGGAAATGAGAAGACATGGACAAGAAAATTTCCAACATTCTACCCGTTCTTCTTCCTTATTTATTCATTGTCGGCCTTTTTCTGCTCCTGAGGCTAATCACCGACACCGGTGACCACACACCCCCACCCACACTACCCCCAACCGGAAATTTTACCGAATCCTCTGGTATTCCAACCGGCTTATCGTCCCCTCTGAAGGACGGCATATCCGTACCATTTGTGCTCATTGATATGGTAGCTGTAGCTATATGCTGAGATGTTTATAATTCCTAAGAATTATAAACATCTCACTATATGCTATTCCGCTACAAATGTACGAACTTACGCGGCGTTTCCTCGAATGGTCGCCCATCCAAGTACTAACCGCACTCGACAGTGTTCAACATATAATGTACTATTGCTATATATGGCTCATCGCCAATATGATATCTCAACAAAAATGGGACCAAAATGAGAGATACTTCGTAAATCTATAAGGACGGGAAGGGGAGGATGGAAAATTTGAAATAAGTAGCCATATTGTATTATTTTTTCCCTACGTCGGCTTCATCATGGTCGGCATCAACGCCTATTGGTCGATTTTGTTACCTATAGAGACAGAAGTTGGTCCCGCCAAAGAAGATTAATATGTATAGTATAGCGTTAATCATCTTTGGTCCTGCTTCGAAGACAGCGATGATTCATATTTTAGTAGTAGATATATGCTGTTTAACTTCAGATAAATCAGATATCGAACGTCTAGTATCTGAGAAGCTAGGGCGATGCCCCCATTTCAACCGTTTTCATATTGAGGTTTTTATGTTCTTCTCCATTTTTCCCATTTCCAATGTTACCAACATAAAATTTTCATTACTTATTTTATAATAATTCACTAGTTCATTGTATACCCAATGCTGAATGTAATCCAAACCGCGCCACCAAAACAGATAAATACACTTCTTCTCGTGTCATTTGGCCTTTTGCTTCGATATCTTCCTCTCCGTCAATGTAAGAATTATTGGTCGTAAAGTTCCACATTGAGAGTACAAAAACGTAAGACGGCTCACGTCTCTCGATATTTTGAGGTTTTCTATTTGCTGGAATATTCTACATAATTTTTTCCCAATATTCTCAATAAAACAGGCCATAGCTTCTAGGGCTATCCGGCAAAACTTTGGGATTTTTGACTTTGACATTGACCTCAAGATGTTATAGTAGCGCCAACTGGTGAGAGTGAAAGTATTAGCCCTCAATATGAGCGATGATATGAAAATGTGGCCGAGAACCAGTGCACCCTATGCAAATTCTTTTCCTAGTGTCTTTCTGTTTTAAATTTCAACAAAGACCAATTTGCATGCATTTACAAATCCTTCCAAATCATCAATTTTCAATGCAAATTAAAATTTGATTGGAGACACAGCTGCATGTGAGCACATGTCTAGATGTCTATTTGTCTAGGACATGTTGAAAACCCATGAAAATCATTACTTGAAAATTGCATACATTAAAAACACATTGCAAAAAATCTGTCACTGCTGACCAGTTTATAAAATCAGAAACATGATAACATGATTGTAGTGTTTTAGTTGAAGAAGATGAGGAGTGAGGAGAACATCTTGGAGAAGATGGTGAGTTCACACATTTTATACCTAAGAATTTCTTCAACATGCAATCTGAATTGAATGGCATTGTTTGAACCTACTTTGAAATACATAACATGACCAACATTGGCCTTCTGTCTGCATTATTATAATCTCAGAATTTTCCATTGAAATGTCATTAAACTGTGCTGTTCACCTCATAAAGAAATAATACAGAATTATTTTATCAAAGAATATGTACTCACAGTTAGGTATGTTGATGCCAGCTGGAATACCACTACCAGCAAAAGTAAGCACATCCAATGAGGTGAAATCAGGTTTCAAAAATGCATCCTTTTCAAACCCTTTGCACCATGGTAACAGAGTCAAGAACTGTTCTGCATTTGACACAAGTGTTGAAAATTTCTCAGACATTTCTTTGTTGACTACTGCAACAAATCCTTCAAATTCCCCTCTAACACCAGCAGGGTCCCTAAACAAATATTTTTATTTTGGTGGAATATTTAAGACACTTTCTCCCACCTATAGGTTTCAATGAAACCAATATAAGTCTCAACAGCTGGCCCCTTGTCTTTAATCCAATACCTTGACCCATCCTTGTGGTCTTCCAAACTACCATGAATGAATGAAGAAGCATATGATTGGAGCATTTTAGCTTCCATTTCATTTGCTGCATGTGGTACAGCTTGCTTCAAGTCATTAGCAACTCTAGCCATAATAGGTGAATAGTCACCAGAGGTGATTTTATATGTTATATCACCTTCAGTGTATTGTTTGATTGTGTCATGTTGCTCTGAAGCAATTCGAATTTCATAATTGACCTAAAACATTAGCCTGTGCATTCTGGAATAGGGTTTTTCTTTATTTACTCACCTTATTATTTTCCACAGTCTTGAAAAGTCTACTGTTATAACACTCCAGTCCCTCTTTCTTCATGCAATTCTGAGCCCTCTCACTGTCTTCTGGTGTACAATTCTTCGACAAATAGGTTGTGCATCCTTGAGGACTATATCCCAGACATGTGTGGCCAGGTTTCAAATTGTACAAACTATCACCAATTTCTTCCCATAGGGTTTTCAGTTCACTCCAAACTATGCTTACTTTCAGCAAGTTCTCCAAACGATTTTGGTCAATGTTTGGTATGAACTTGGTATCACCAAAACCTTTGTAGTTCCCAGCATTGCAGAATACACCACATGCATAGACTAACAGAGCTTTCACTTCGTCTTCAGTGAATCCTGCTTGAACTGCAGCAGCTTTGAATTGAAGTGGACTTTGAGCTGTGAAAAGTTTGTGCAAAAGTACAAACAGGGGTCCAGACTCTGGGCTTGTTTGAAGCAATGTTATAAGCCCTCCATGCCATGATGCCTTGCTTATGTGGTGGGCATATAGCTTTTCTTTCGTGGATAGGCCATTGAAAGCCGATTTTATTTCGAGATTGACTACTGGTTGATCATTATGGAGGACATACTGATTTTTGTCTACAGCTGTTTCCATACTAAGGATGTGTATAGCCTAGGATACAAAAATATTATAGCGAAGCAGTTATTATGATCGTGCTTATTGTCTGATATAAATAAGAATACTTACAATACAACAAGTAAATATAAAACACTAGCATAGAGTATAAAAACAACAAAGAACAGTAGGTTAGTCACCCTCCTCTTTGATAAAAATATCCCTTGTCAAACTTTTTATCTTTTCTTCTTCTTCTTCTTCTTCTTCTTCTTCTTCTTCTTCTTCTTCTTCTTCTTCTTCTTCTTCTTCTTCTTCTTCTTTCAAACTTCTTGGTTTTCTGATTCCTCGGCCTCGCGGTATCAATTCCACCTGATCCAGTATTTTTGGTATTTTCGTGGTCATTTTGAAAAGTTCGTAGGATTTATTTATTATTCATGATAGGAATATCGTTAGATCCCATTTTTAGTTGGGTAAAAATGATGGTTTTCCAACATATAGGAAGGATTCCACTCTAACTTTTCACATGAAAATCTATATCAACACATTTGTTACAATCTATTTGACTACTCTGCTAGTATGGTAAATTTAGGAATATTTAGGAATATATATTTCTATATATATTTATATCTATATTTCAGAATTACTCTTTTCAATAAATTTACTCAATATAATATATATATATTGAATTTTACGAAAAAAGACAAAACTTGACAAAACCATGGTTCATCTTGTATTTTTGGTTGAATAATTTCATAATAGTGAATGGCTTTGGTTATCGAAGAATATTGTTGAAATTCAGTTTTTGAAATCAAGCCCATATATTGTATTTTAATGTTACTACAAGAAATGCTTGCTGATATGCTGATTTTGCTATATTATCAGCTTTATCATCAACTAATGATGTTTGTCAAAAACAACAAAAAGACAACTGACAAGTGAAGTGATGTGTTCCGTGCTTCAGACGTGGGTTAACATATAATCCTTGGGTTAACATCTCATAGGGTATTTGTAAAAACCGGTGGTAAAAACTGGTGATTATTTTTTCATTGAAAGAAACACATATTATTATAACTTCTAGATATAATTATTTGGTATTTGAACAGAAGTACATTACATATTGTTTCACCCTACAGTTCTGAAAATAGATCTTTGGGTACTGGAACAGTTCAATCTGAATAAATTATTTCATACACTCGCATATCTATATCTATTGCTATTTCACTAAACCTAAAAATAAATTACTAGTCACAAACAGAATTACATTCTCATACACATCATCATTATTCTGGAATCCTAATTTCTCTCTATATATCGACATTTCTACATCCACCAAAATGGAGGAAATATTACATAGCCTCGCTAATTTGACATAAGACATAACTGTACAATTCTCTCGTCATAAATAACAAAACATAACAACTAGATCACGTATTCGCTCTTCATATTCAATTATGGCGATTTTTAAGACTAATTAACAGAAAAACACTCAGTCTACATCAATTTTAATATCCTGTTCTTGATCACTATCACTCTGGCTGTGACACACTTCCTTCTTAAATTCTTGGCTAAGCCCAGAATCGACCACCACCCCATACGGCTGCTGAAACCCCGAATACCACACGTTCGATGGTTTCGACCTCGTCGACGGCTTCTTCAGCAACTCCTCGATCGAATAGGGATTCTTCTTCTTGCTCTCTCTGTTTCCTGTCTCCGTCAGCGCTACCTGTTTCCGGTCATGCGCAGTATCTTGGTGGGCGGAGCCTGTGGTTTTTGTGTTGGAGGGCTGACAGGGTATCACCAAGTTGGACCAACTGTTCGCGCTGGGGATGATTTCCATGGGGGTGTTGGTGGCGATGTGGAGTTGGCGTTGGAGGGCCGCTAATCGGTTGTTCGAAAAGTAGGCGGGGTCAGACAGGGCGGGGTAGTACGACAGGGTGGGGCTGACGACTGTCTGCGATTTCGCGTGGTAGATGTCGCTTGCTATGAGTGATTCTGGAACAAAAAAATCGGGGGTTGTCAAATCAGTTCGTGAAAACTGGAAGCTAATCCTGTCACTGTTTATTTATTCAGCTCAGATTCTTTGAGATATATTCCACATGATGATGAGAATTATGTTGGTAAAAGACAGTTTTTTTTTTTATTTATTTGAATTACTTTTTATTCATAGTAATGATTTTTTTCTCATTATGTCCTCAGATAATACATGCAAATATGTCTTTTTCACCGGTGCATACAAACTTATGCACGAGTGCCTACTGACAGTTCCTGCACATGATATCTAATTTTCTGGCTTCCAATACACGACTGCACACATCGATGTTTTTTTTATCTCTTTGAGCTCACGAAAAGAAATTCCTATATATGTTCATGGGACATCGTACGTACCTATAGAGATGATAGGGAGAGGAGGTAAGAGTTGGATTTTTTGTAACTTTTGGAGGTTGTATATATAGGTTCTTGGAAATACTTTTATTGGCAGAGAATTCTCTACAGCTTTCAATATATGTGTGGTAGGACAGATCAGATGATCAGGAAGCCTAACGGAAAAAGGTTTGAAGAGAGTAAGTACAGATATATTGAAAAAATATCGAATTTTTACTTAGCTCTGGACGGTTCGGGAACGAATCTGCTTCCGTTCACAACATAAAAATGAAAAATATTTATTTCCGGAGATTCTGTTCTAGTTTGACACTTCTCAGTGTACTGATTTTGGCATATGGATGAGTGATGATGTTACTATACAAATATTACAGAATGTAAGATATATCTGTTCAGTTAGCTTTGATTTATCGATATGTCTTTTCTTGATATGGTAACGATGGAAGAACACAAGTACAAATAACAGAATAAGTGCCTAAATCTTTCGAACCATGTGTTCAATCAGCAGATGATGCACGGTGTTTGTCTTTCACATATGCTGAGTCCAGAGAAAAAGATAATAATATGGAAATGATGCACCATAATCGATCAAACCATCAAACTTCGACGTTCTTCCACTCCTCCACTGGGTTTCCTGGTTCGAACACGGTTCGAACCGTTCATTTAGAAGTTTTTGAACCGGAATGAACCGTATTACTTGATGACGTCATATCTTGCACAAGAATTCAAAGATTTCAAATCGTTTTGAACACGGTTCAACAAGAAAATACAAGTAATGTTGTGGAGGCTGAGTTTGTTCAGTGAGGGAGTTTTATTGTGGTCCACTAATAGCATGGCGTCAGCCCACTGTGATCATTTGTATGATGATTAAGGCTTTTAAGAAGGTTTTTCCTTCTTCTCGAGACCCCGAGGGTTTCGTTAATACTTCTAAGTTTTCCTACGAGCCAATGCGCACGCATCCATAATGTATCAAGTGATTCACTATCAATCTATCTGACCAATATTTAACAATGAGGTATGGGAATGGTTCGAAAACTTTACGCTCTTGTCAAATAACTGGTACCCATGAAATTTTCGAAAAATTCGTGTTGGCTCACCTGTCGGATGACCGGGTCTCGGTCTGTGTACCATGTCAGGCGGGTCAGGCCAAACGCCGCTGTTCCGTAATATCCTGTTCACGGAACTCACGGAAGGGATATTGTGCGGCTCGCAGATCCTCTGCGAAATCAGCTGTTCTCTGATCTCCCACGCGAACATGCCGGGGTTCTCTTGTTTGAAACGCAAGATTTTCTTGACGACCGTGGGGGTGGCGACTTGCTGAAAAAAAATGTCTTCACTCACACAGAAAAATGAATCTCTTCGAATGAGAAAACCCATCCTTTTGAAAATTCAATTGTATACCTATCTTCTTTGAAACTACCCCCCCCCCCCCAAGATGGTTAATCCACAGAAGTTGTTTATTATTTGTAAGATAGATAATAGACGCTTTTGATGGTTTGATTTGTGTTTTTTTTTTTTGTTCAAAGAAGTTACGATTTCAATTCTAATATAGTACGCAGTGTCTTATGGGAAACACTTTTGACAAAATTCGACTTGTGCGTTAAGTCTTACTTAAAAAAAGATGAAAAATGGACTACTCGGTTGTGATCACGTGACTTTTGGTACATTTCAAATTTATTTATATTAATCTTCTTGTTTGAATTTCAAAAAAGTTCACGAAGAATAGTTTCAATTCCAATTTTACACATGTGTCTCGAATTTGAACGGTCTATTGCAATTTTTAGTGCTTGGTATTTTTTGATTTATTCCAATTGTTATCTTCGACAAAAATGTGATAAACTTTCCTTTGATGATATGCCTAGGCAGATAAAGTACTCCTTTTCCTGTATGTGTGTCTGATAAAAGCCACTTATTATGCCGCTTGCAGAAAAATAACTATTACGATAAAGTGTTGATATTGATAGGTATGCCTAACACTCAACCGTCAACCATATCAATCATTCCAAAAAATCACGGGAAGTATTATATTAATCCAGTGTATACGTTATCGCTGATTAGGTACCTACATATATATACCAGCTAAAATATAACAAGATTACTTATAAGTATTTCGATTGTGATATTGCTCTGAAACACTTAAGTTTTCCCGTTATTATTCACACTTCATTTTGTTAATATTGGATATAGTGAAGTGCTTGATACATTCATTTGATCGTTTCGATAGATATCAGATGAAAATTAGGATGCAGACATTATACACTTGTTCAATTTCACACGAAACTCGAGAATCATTAAAGAACATTACATTTTTCTGAAAGCACCGTCAACAATGAACTTTTGTACGTTTTGCATTTCAGTCGTTGGGTTTCGTCTATTTTTGATTTTTTATGCAGGCGGGTTAATCAAAAGTATAGAAACAGGTGAGTATATCTCCGTTAACCGTTTGTTAGATTTTTTTGAATATATGTACAGGGTGATTTCAAAACGTGGGAGATTTGAAAATGTTATCGCCAATGTTACCACTGTCGCCAATGTCGCCACCGTCACGTGACACCGACTGGGGCCATCATGTGACGGTCAAGTCGAATTTCGTAATAAATTATCACTTATCAAAAGTTTTTCCACATAATGCCGACTTTATGAACGACACTGTATAGTATAGTTTAGAAGAATGAGGGTGTAATTTTATTTCACCCCCATGAACCGTGATCGTTTTTGATGCCATCAACTGATGGCAAGCTAGAGTGATGAGCAGCACTATCTCGCGTTGACATCTCAATGACAGTGGTATTTTTCTGTTTGCCATCCAAACATACAGATCCGTCCGCGCTCGTTTTACATACCTAACTGTATCATCAATCATGCAGTCAAATTACAATTATTACTAATGTCATTATCGCGCTCCATGTCCCAAATGACACTGCCTGTTTGTTTAAATGTCGTTAGTGGTAGTGGTGGATCAGGGACCCTATATTCTCAAACGGTGAGATTGACGCATTCGAACATTTTCGATAGACAAATTGTAGAGTGGTCTTAAGCATTTACTTGTTATTTTGAGAATGGCAGCGTCATTAATAGAAATGGAAAATTTGGAAAATCAAGAAAATCATCAACGGCCACGAGAGACCGTATAAAAGAATGCGTTAAAATTTTCATCAGGGAATGTATAGAAACATTTAGTTAAGGACTGGGGCATATATCTACCCATTCTACCACTCATATGAAGCATCCTTCTGTCTCTATAGGTAACGAAATCCACCAATAGGCGTTGATGCCGACCATTGCCGACGTAGGGAAAAATAATACGAAACTTGTTAAACCAATATGGCTACTAATTTCAAATTTTTAAATTGGTTCTAGCGCGTATGTGATCGTTTGTGATTGAAATTCGAATATTTGCGTTTTTAGTTGTACAATTCTTTAGTGCTTGTGTTTTCGTTAATTTTTCATAGACAGACTGAACTTTTTTAACTATGTTTAGTGGAACGAAAAAGCAGTACCTATTTGCGGAGTGAAGAATAGACAGGAATCCTCTTTCCATAAGTGAGTTTGAATTTTCAAAATCTTGTAAATAAGTAGGTAGATCTGAAACTGCAAATCATAGAACTAAAGCTAGGACTATTTTACCTATTAATGAGAAAACATGATTACATTTGATTAAATGACCTGATCCATATTCAATATACAGAGATCAAGATCTGAAGCAATAATGCTGGATTAAAGGGTGTGAGTTTCGAGATTCCACCGAACTGAATGAAATCAGTATCGCAGTTCATTTCATTATTATCTGCAATGGCTCTTTCCTGTTCCTCAAAGTTACTGACATTATGCTTTGCTATATTTCAATCACATTATAAAGGAATAAATCGAAGTTGACGGTATTATACTGTGGTATTATCAACAATTGATGATTTTTAATAGTTTATTATGATCGAATAATTATTTACGAACCTAACCTAACTTAAAATGTGATCCTCATGTCAGCAGTTTCCATCCTTCACTTTCCGTCCTTATAGATTTATAGAAGTAATTTGAATCAAATTGGTAATCAAAATTGACAATGAGTGTGGGTGAACACAAAATTATGAATTATTTGGACTTCGAGAAGGAGGAAAACTCGAGGATACTGAGTAATTTTTTCGAAATATTCTGATATGTAAATGATGAAATATCAACAAACTTGAACAAACTGATGCTGATAAAAAGTCTTGAAAACGGTTACCTTTATATGGAAAACCGAATACAATAAAATTATTCTAATGTTGAAGTTAGTTTCAAATATACATTTTTTCAGGTCAGACTTTCTCTAGTCCAAATTTTATGTGAACTCAAAAATTATCCAATTTTATCCTTGATGAAACTCGAGGATACTAAGTATTTTTTTCGAAATATTTCGATATGAAAATAATGAAATATTTCCAACTGATGCTGGTAAATGTCTTGAAAACTCTTAGGTATACATATTTATATGGAAAACCGAAAACAATAAAATCATTGCAATGCTGGATCAAATATAATGATTCACAAGAATAATACATAAAACTATAAAATGAATTCGACTAAATGTATGAACTACAGCGGAAAAAGTCTATGCAAGAATTCACGTCAAGAGTGGCAAGACAGAATTGAAAAATGTAACCGTTTAGTATAAGACGATTGAGGCATTATTTAGAAAAAAGGATAGAATTGTTTTGATCACTTATCCTAACTGATTGAATAGGTATATTATGAATTTAGTCAAATTCATCATTTATCATTTGTTTTCTCCCAGAATGGTTGATTTTTGTTTTACAGTGATTATAAATATTTTACGTTGATTTCGCTCATTCATTTGAAGATTTTCAACAAACAATATCGAAATATGGCCTTATCGGTAAAAAAGGCGACAATATACAAGGTGTCACGAACACCTAGAACGAAAAAAAAAAATCATCCGATATCTAATAAAACGAATCTTGTGATAGCATGAATTTATATTGTCATAATAGCACATCGCATTCGAGCTGGTGTTTGACTTTGATATTTTTCCATGTATGCACGCCGTTTATTTATAAGTCCTGAGGGAACGGAAATTAATTGTCACGTGATATAACATTAAACTGCGTCCACTAAAGGTCACAGAAAATTATTTTCATATGACGACATCAGTGTATACAATATATGCATTTTCACACAGTACATTACGTTCATGTCCTTCCTTCCTTTGATTACTTCAGTACAATTTACAGAAAAATAATATTTTCATCATTATCAAGATAACTGACAAAGAAAACTGGCGCATATGTTGAACAATTTTATTTTTCAGAGATATCCCTATAGCTTTTCAATATTTTTCTATGTATAAGGTTTTTCAAATGTTTGTATCATATTTCAATTGCTTCATTCTTGTTTCGTTATCGTAATTTATTTTTCAAAGAAAATATCCTATCGTCCATTTTGGCGGAGGTTCTAAAGCGACTTCGTCGAACTGCCAAAAACTTTCAAGTCACTTGTTTTTTGCCCCCCTCCTCCCCATAAGGTATTCGATGAATTTTAAATTTAAATAGTATTTATATGCAATTTTTTCTCATATGTATCGTCTTTTCTTTCATCTTCAAACATGTAATATTTTTCTTGTTTTCACGAGACTGATGGTGGGCATATACAAAGTTCAAGAGATTCCCTGTGTTATTTTAGGATATGAAGTTTATACAAACATGTGTCCTAACTTGCTTCGTTTTCGAGATACAGGGTATTAATATTTCCATGAAAAATTTTCTTTCTATTCATTTCTCAAATTGTCTTTCCATCAATTTCAATAACCCCAATTAGAATCATTTCCGAAATTTTGGGGCTTTCACAGTCTCCATCCATACTGAATTTTGGCATCATGGAAGCTTATACAGGGGGGGTTATAAATAAAAACTATTAATTCTTCCAACTTCAACATCCTGTATCTCAAAAACGGAGCAAGTTAGGACACATGTTTATGTGAAATATTATTTGCTAGAATATCACAAGGAAACACTCCATAAATTTTTTCGGTACTCTTTAGATACTCCCTGTATATATGCCCGAAACATGTTTCTCTAACGCATAATTTGTGAAAATATTTTTTGTGGAGATGACTATAGGTGTTTCAACTATTGGAGGTTCTAACGCTAGTTTTGGTGGAGTTTCTGTATGTCAATTTTGGCGAAGGTTCATTTTGTCGATTTTGGCGAAAGTTCATAAATAATTTGCCTAGTAATTATGATCTGGAAATCATCACACAACATCTTTCTCATCAATCCGTCAAAACACTGACAAGACTTATGACCAAAACTTAGGACTTAAGAAAATCAATCACTGAACTTACATATTATGACTACCGATGGATAATGTATATGGTTTTGGTGAAGAGCAGATCTGAAATCCTTATTCCATTTCAGTTGATTTAGTAAAAAAGAAGGGACGAAAGTGATAAGCTAGTTATCAACAATGAAGTTCCATGGTTCTGATTGATCTGTACAAAGATCTGTACTAATCTATTCGAATAGCCCGTACATAAGTGTTAGCCCATCTGCAACTGTCAAGTGTCAAGTCATATTTTATGGTTATGGTTACTCATGATGGAAGTCACTGTTGAGAATGAAAAACAGTGAATTAATTCGCATTTTCACGTGTATTTATAGAATCGAGGTGATTAAAACTATGAGAACCATGTAGGGTGAGTCTTTTGAATTTGCGTGTATTTCACAAACAGTAGTATAGTGGTGTGCTTTAGAACTAGTAGAACGAATACCTACTTAGTTGAATTTGACAAGACGATGGGATGTCAGATTATTACGCCATCCTACTGTCATTATTACTCTTATTACTCGATTCATCACAATAATGTCTGTCATTAAATGTTGAAAATCGAGCTCCATAGTTTTAGATAATAGAATATTATTACCACGGGACCTTATATACCCCTCAGCTGAAGCTTAGGGACATAATCTTGGTATAATACTGCTATTGTTTACTACTATGTAGTATATATAATTTTATTAGGTATTCTTTTATTTCATATAATTGCTGTGACGCTTATATACTTAGAGCATAAACAAAGTCGTTCAATAATCACTCTTCATTTTCTATCGAGTGTTTAAACAAACAGAACTCTTATCGATACCAATCTTAGAGGAAAGAAAAAAAATTGTCATCACACACATAACATGTAGACATGAAAACCAGCAAAGCCGTTGTTTGTAGTGTCACATGACGTGGTCATAACGCCCTTTTTATCAGGATGACACATCTATCTGATGAGGCTTCTGTTGACCGCGTCCTTTCACAAGCCTCTGGCCCTTAAATGGCCCTTCACAGCTCGGTAATTACATCTGATGTAATTACCAAACGAAACAACTGAACCCACAACCACCTGCCAGGGCCGGCCTCACCCGGATTCACACGAAAAGTGATAAATTGAAATCGATATACTGTCACGAATAGGGTTTTTTTCTTAAATTTCAGTCAATTTCATGAAGGGTTCGAAGTCATCGGACGGTCACGTCTTTGTTTATTAATTCCAAAATTTTCAAATCATGAACGAACTTTTTTTCATAGTAGTTGAACATAAACACAGGCGTGACATTGACTTCAACGAACCTGGACTATCGACCAGATTTCCTTACTCTCACGTTTCCGAATATATAGACAAGGATATATAGACAACTATTTGAAAGACTCGTGACGGCTCGATAGTTCGAATGCCAGTTCGAGTTCGAGTTCTGTTTTTTCTTTCGAATACGATCACGGAAAGTCTCTTCTTGATGTATGAATTATCTTCGATAAAATGGCTTGTCGGTCCTTAGGCCGAAAATCAGGCGCTTAAGACTATGTCGCGAATTCGCCCTTAAAATGATGATACGTTTTCGTCGGTCGTCGGAAAGCTGTGACACTGATGCCCTCTTCCTCCAGGTTTCAGAAGATAACAAATACAAGCGTAAGGTATGTTTTAAATTGTTATTCAAATCTCTGATTCTGAATAAATGTGTAAATTTGTCGTTTTGGAAATGATTTTACTTTTTTGCTAAATTCCCAACTATTCATTGACAATTTGCGGTATAGTTTGAACCTGGAATAGTAATTCCATACCAAGATACAGGAGACATTTTTCTAAGCCAAGTTTAGTTCTTGTGATATACAGTTTTTCCATTACTATCACATGTTTTCTAATATATAGATATCATTGACCTAAAATTTTCACTCTCTTTTCAATAATTCATTATGAAATTGAAAGTCTTTGACAGCTGTCAGATACTCAGATGAGTGACATTTCAAATAAGATTCATATTCATATCGTTTTCCACTGGACAGAAACATGCACTTATCATGGGATGGGTTTTTTCCCGAAAAATGTTTTTTATACTTATGTTGTTTTGTCTGAAAAACACGAATTTGATAACGATTAAGAGACCACTATTTATCGAGATATTTCAAGAAAAAGTTCGAAATTTCGCCTTTTTTTTTCTCCCTGTCTTGAATGCATTCACAGCTACTAGCTCTTCTAATTTTGTCATTTTACACCTAATATACTCATGATGTACTTCGATGACACATTTCAATAACGAAAATTTAACACGAAATATGATTTTTATGGCGAATATTTCACATTTAGTGAAAAATCATAGCAGATGACGGCCATTTAATCAATAATCAATCCAAATACGAGATGTCAAATGTCAACAGACTGATTTTGAATTGTTACACACGCCATTATTCTAAATGATATATATATATATATATTTCTTTGTTTTCACTAAATATGGATAAATCGCAAGAAAATCATATTTCTAGTTGACTTTCATGTAGAAAAAATGCATCATTGAAGTAGGTACATATATAAATTGTTCAATGATAAAAAAGAAGGGCAAATTGTTCTTAATGCGATCCAAAAGACAGGCAGAAAAGAAGGTGAAATTTGTAACTGTGTAGTGAAATATCTTAATAAATAATGGTTTGTTCACATTTTCATTATCAAATTCGTGTTTTTCAGACAAAAATACGTGAGTACCAAAAACAATTCTCGAAAAAAACCATCGCTTGATGAGTGCAATTTTACCAACATGCACTCAGTGTATATCCATCTTTCAATAATTGCATGAGAAATAAAGACAAAAAAAATCAGTGTGGAAGAGCTTCGAGCTAATGCGACTTGTGAAAAGATATAAACTAATATGGAATTGAGGAAATTTACGCAAAAGAGGGAATATGGATGCTTTTAAATGTTTCCATCATCAACTAGTTTAGGAGTATACATTTTACTATTGACCACTATAGTGAATGCACACGAATTCTTACTTGAAGGAGCTATGTATTATATAGGAATTTTGTTTTCCACATTCACTATGGATTTCCATCCAAGTAACGGCCGAGTAATTAGAAAGATATGTATGTTCATTCACATCCTTCTCCTGAAATGAGTGAACTAATATTCTCCTATCAAGTTGGATCTCATTGACGATTTTTTATTGGGTCTTATGGGCGAGTTAGGTCCTGCTACTCGACAGCGTTTACGTGTAGATATATCGTAAACTACGTAAATTCCGTATTACAGTTTAATTGTCATCCAAGAGGACGATCAAAGTGCGGATCTAGTTATATTCATGACGGTTTATGGTACAATCGTACAATTCGATCTCTGTGGACGATAAACTATACATGTTCAGGGAAAACTATGAAGCGTCATTTAGCCCTCAAGTATTATTTCGTCAAGTTTTTTATGATCCAACGGAAACTCGACCATCAGATATATAATTATCTGTATTGACCCCCTTCCCCTCTATCACTGAGGCTAGTTATACCTGACAGCACTTAATTTTTTCAAGGAAGTAAGATAATCAAATAGAACAGTTTTTTAGATCACTCGATATAAGTAAAAATGTTGAGTTTGTAATGAATAAAAGTTTCTTCAAGTTGAATGAATCCATTTATAAATAAATACAACTACGGAATTGCCAAAAAAGTTTTAGTGTTCATTGTTGCTCACTAATATCGTGAAAAATGGTGTCAGAAGTGGGATATTCCAGTGTGTAGTGAACTGTGATGATGAAGAAACAGAACGAACTGAAGGTAGTGGACTTGGAATCTCACAGTATGAAGAAATCATTTGCATATTCTGTAGTCGAATCGATCCTGCGACACCAACCAACGAACATATTGTCCAAAAAATATGAAATATCTCTTGCAATTCTCCAGTACAAGAATTGCCTGTATAATTTGTGATTTTTATTCCGTTGGTACCAAATTTTCACAGACGCTTTTTGTTCCATCAGAAATTTCTGGTGCGGTGTACAAGATAATTCCTCAGTACTCGACATTTCGAAGCACTTTTTCTTACGACCACACAGCAATGGGTTTGAAAGTGTTCAACAATAAACTACCAGATTATTTGAAAGTCATTTCAACTTTAACTGTTTTCAAAAGGGAGTTGAATAATTTGTTGTTAAAATGATGTTTCTACAATTTGAATGAATTCTTTTCGAATACCAGGAGTTGAAGCTTGTTTCAGCGACTTGTCCAGTACACAGCTGATAGCGATTATCAGCTGTGTACTGGACATGAAGTTGCTTCCAACAAATCGTTGATATGGAGTAGAAATAGTGTTGGTGCTAGAATTGATCCTTGCGGAACACCAGCATTTATGATGTAAGCGAGTCAGATGAAACTCCGTCGACCACTACATGGAGAGACCTGTTTGAGACAAAACTAGCTAGCAGAGAACATAGCTGGGGAGGAAAGCCATAAGATGGAAGCTTGGAGAGGTGTCCTTGGTGCCAGACCCGATCGAATGCCTTGGAGATATCAAGTGCCACGGCTAGGGTTTCACCATATTTTTCAATAGATTGCTGTCATATATGTGAGACGTGAGCGAGCAGGTCACCAGTTGATCTCTGATGACGGAAGCCATGTTCTGTTAATGTGAGGTAATGTTAACTTAATGTTAAGTTAATGTTAACCCAATGATATGTTAATGTTGAGTCGATGTTAAGTCGATGTTAAGTTGATGTTAAGTATCGTACCTTGGTTTTGGACCCGCCGATCGATCCCGGTCTGATGGACCCAGTCTCGTAGAACCTGGTCAGGATCTTGGAGACGCATCCGTGAGACACGAGCAGCTGCCTGGAGATGTCGCAGGGTCGGACTCCCAGCAGGGCCAGCTCCACGATCCGCCTGCGGACGCAGTCGGGCAGAGGACGGCCGTTGACGAACACGCCGCCTAGCTGGTTGACGCCGGCTTGACCTTGAAGAAAAATTGAGAATATACAGGGTGACATTAAAAAAAATACGAATGAATCCAACCCTGAAAGAGCCAATGAACTCAGTATAACATCTCGAACATTAACGCGCTCGCTTCGCTCGCACGTTAAAATATCTCGATCATTGATCGCTCTTATTAATATACTAGTTGGTTGAATAACTATTGTTGCGGTTTTCCATTCAGACATTCTTGAATTATGGATTAAGGTACTTCATAGAGAGAGTTGGACTCCATCTAAAACCAGCAAGCTTTGTAGAGAGCATTTCCTGCCAACTGATTATTTATTTAGACATACCAGGTACTGCTAGGTTATTGAAACTAGATGCTGTACCCAGTATATTTCCATTTCCTAAGCATTTGGTACCAAAAAATACTGGTCCTTGAAAGAAAATAAGAAAACTCATAGGTACCTATATATATATATATATATTATCAAAAACCCAATTACCATATAATGGTGTAGGGTATAGGTACCTATAGTTGATTAATAATGAAAAAAAAGTATGTTTGCTCCTCTTTAAAATAAAAATCTAGCAAGTAATTAATTTTCAGGATGCATCTGTGGAAGTTCATAACATTGGGTCCTAAGGAAGATGTTTCTCATATTATGGACTTTACCTATGACTTCCAGCTCCCAAGTCTTGAAGTTCATCAATAAAGAAACCCAAACTGTTCCATTGGAGAAGGATATTGTATTGATAATTGTATTTTTTCAATTTTTAACAGGGATATGTTTGTAGGCAGTGACCTAATGGTAAAATAGGAACCTATATGGAAATTATGCTCAAAATGGACCTTATAGGTAGTCAATACCATTCAAGAACCTCTTCGCTCACCCTGTACAATATAATCTCACATTTGAATGAAAATATGTAATTTCAATTTAGTATTCCATTGACTTCCTAATCCTGTAAGAATAAAAATGAAATTTCATTTTTAAGTCAATAAAAAATCATTGATAATTTTTTAATGATAATTGATAGCAACATTTTCCTTTTTCCTATATATATGAATATTTCTATTTAATCACGTTTACTCTTAAATGAAAGCAAAAAACGAGAAAATATTTCAAATAATGCGAGGGCTTCCCATTAGCGAACATAACATAGAGATAAATAGGTATCCGTAAACACTGCGGGTTGCCTGAACAATATTTTTGCCTCACTCGTCGTTCACAGAGGGTCCCTTCCTTGGCAATGTGTTCCAGAGCCTCGCCGTTCGTTGGATGTACGAGTCTTTGGAAAGAGATGTTCTGCAGGTCTCCACGAAGGGGTGCGAAGCCTCAACTCGACGGGTTAATCTCGCGGGGACTGTCAAGGGAGGAACAATTGTTGTATTGTTGATATTTCAGAAGAGCATATAGAGCAATAGAGTCAGATCGCCAAATTTTCTACGGTGTTCCAGAGAAGCGTGTGATGAGTGAGCGAAGCATCGCCCACGAGACGAATTGCCCTTTTTTTGGACAGAATCCAACAGTTTCAGGGTATGTTCGGGTGTTGCACTCCAAATATTGGAACAGTATTCCAGGACAGGTCGTGGAAGTGCAATAGCTTCTGGCTGGAAACAGAAAAACAAGTTTTTGGGATGTACTTTTAGAAATTGATCTCAGGAGAATTAGGAAATATTTCGAGAATATTCGTTAGACTGCATCACACCGATGTGCTGAATATATGTACTTATTTCAAAAACACTCAGTATATGAGATATCCATCATCAATTATTTGAATGAGGTGGATTTCAAAAGTCACAACTACTTCGTCGAATAAACATGGTGTATTATTCGGATCGGCCGTATTTCTGAAAATAAAATAATGGATGTCTTCTTTCGACTCATTCGATGAATGAATTTTCTTGAGATCTACCTGCGTCAAACTTTCACCTGAAGGACCCACATCATAATCAGTCAAAAAAGTGTTTCGCGTGTCGTGGAACTGAGCACCTGCTAAACTTAGATTTTTTCCTACCCACCAAAAATTATCCTAAATTTGAAATTGCTAGCAGTTGCCTGCCAATTATTTCTTAAACTTGTACATGCTGTTGGTTAGGAAGATGTTTGCGGCAAACTGAATCCAAATTGTTTGACGTTCCAAGTAAATTCATGTGGCCTATCTTGATTTTTCGGGATAGTTAATTAGTAGCGCCAGATCGGTTTAGCGTTAATTTGACATTTTACGTGAAGTTTGATGAGGTTGGACCGGTTTGACTTTAGAATGGTTCTTTAATAAGTACAAAAAGCGTATTTTACTTTTTTTTACATATCATGGCATGCTGCCTTCATTTTTTCATCGTGTTAGTTACATTTCATTAGATTGATCAATAAATACTTGCTTATGATATAACTCAATAAAATATATTCGTGAATACTATATGTCAAATGTAAAAACTTCACAAACGATAAGATTTCCACAAAATTCTCAAACACACGACATGTTTCGCTAACACAGTAGCTTCGTCAGGTGATATACTGGTACAATGAACTAAACCAACGTTGGCTTTCTTAACTTTTATATATCCTACTTTCCCAACTTGAAGTTACCTGTGGACAGGTTCGATAAACCTTCATTTTCGGAAATTAGGCATATCTATACATAAAAATACGGTGTGCCAGGTTGACTTGAAAGGGTTGATAGCAAATAAATATTATTACCTACTAAGGAAACACATCCAACAATGGTGAACTATTGAGGTCTAATTGACCGTTAGGAAAAATGTAAAAATTTTTCAGTTTGTTTATTTCTATAATGATTCAAAATGATTGAGTTTCATTCCTTTATTTTCTACGTGTTGAATTTCGAAATTATCAAAACTATGGTTTTCTTCTAATATATGGTAAGCGTATGTTGAATTTGTTTTCTTTTTGAAACAATTCATCTTATGTTCATGAATGCGCTGATTAAACGTACGACCTGTCTGACCGATATATGCCTTAGGACAAGATCCACAGGTGAGTTTGTATCCCTGATTTTTTGAATTTAGAAGTTTTGTCTTCATTATTTTTGATAAACCTTCCCAACGTGTTATTTGTTCTACAGTGTGTCCCATTTACCATGCTCACCATGGGTATCTTTTTAACGGTGAGAGATACGAGGTCGGTTAAATGACACCAAATGTGGAGTTTGTCAAGGCCAACTATAATGTGAAAAAGTATTTTGATAAAATCTATGCGTTTTTGTTTCATACGCAAAAAGCAGATTTTGATCATTTTCATGTCTCCTCCATAACTTCTTTATTTATGAAAATATTCAAATAGGAATTTCACATTCTAATGGCAGTTTTTCAAAGTGATTTCGAAAATAATATGAAATTTATACCAACTCTTCTAGAATTTGAGATATCAGCACCAACTTTAGTTTTTCAAATGTAGGTCATAGCTATGACTTAGTAACAAATAACTTTTTTTTCTCTTTCAGATGATATGTCGCAGTAATAGTTTTGTGTTGATAACAACGGAGTTATCGTCAGTTATACAAAAACAAAAAATTATTTGGAAGCCTCCATCTCGAATTTATAAATTTTAACAAGAAAATCATGATCTTCGACCTCAGAAACCCCCACTTACCAATTTTGAATGGAATCGGACCAAATCTTGTCCGCCATCAATTAAAAGAAATGGCTGCTCCAAGATGGCGGTGTGATATTTAAAAAGCTCCTCAAAGAATATCTTCTAACAAGTTGCTTTTACTCCCTCAAAGAGTATGAGAACCTTTCTTAATATGATGTATTTGCTGTACTATTCATGAGTACTCTGTTTGTATATTTGTTTTTTTGTTTTCTTCTAGGAGAATATAAATATGTAACTTAATACAGGGTGTCCCATTTGAATAAATCAACTAGTACCCTGTAGATCGCTTGTTCTGAGCAAGATAATTCCTTGAAATCGGTTCAAAAACAAATGAGCTAGAGGGAGGAGCATTTATGGTGAAACACCCTGTACATACATCATCCGTAAATTATATGCATGCTTACATAGCTTTGCTCATAGATTAACGACTCCCTAATCTATGCTTTGCTGCTTTCAGTTTTTTTCTGCTTTCAGTTTTTTTTTGCAGAATAACTGAAGCGAGCAATGACGAAACGACGGAATACCATCCTGTTGAATGAAAATTGGTTGAATCTTACGTGATTGATGAAATTATAATAAACCTCCTCATGTGTTTACCCTCATATTTTTTGCCACAATTATCGTGATGATCTTACACAAAGGGGGTTCGGGCTCAAGGATAGCTACTTTTTTTTTCCAAATCCGAATATGCTATTACCATTCAGCCTTTCAAAGTGCGTCGGCAAAATCGAACAGAGGTATATAAATGAATTCATTAATATTTATCTGCAATGTATATCCAATTATGAGGGAATATCGAGACCAAAAATGAATACATCATATTCATGTAATCGCGATATTTTAATAAGAAATCGAAGAAAAATGTATCTGAGTGCCCTTGATTTGTATCGACAACCATTAGGCGTACCATGCAAATGCCATACAAAAGTATATGGAAGGTCATGCATGCAATTTTGTTTAAAAAGGACCTTTCTCCAGTGACTACCGGAAAAAAGTTTGACTTTTCGTCTCTTCTTTCCCATGGGAAAAAGTGAATACTTTTTTCCCAGATATACAGGGCGATTCTTTAGGAAATGCGCATGCAGTTGGAGTAGATAGAGGACACCGAGGTGCTTCTGAATGATCCATATTTCATGGGTCTATCATTGTTTATAACCAAGATACAGGGTGATTTATTATTTTCCCCCAATTTTTCAATTAACCATCACGAATCACCCCATACATTTTTCTGATATTTGGTTTGTAAATGTTCTTTGTCTATAGTGGTGACGATTGACATAATAAAAAATAGTCTTATTCATGATAATTGCGACCATCGGGCACCGTCATCAGTTTTCTTCTATCTATAGTTCGAGAAAAAAATATTTCTTTTTAACTGTCCAATTTGGCACACCCTTTACATCAAATTCAGGAACACCCTG